TGGTCACGCCTTACCAACGCTCGCTTGTCGCTGGGCACTCAGGGCTTTCCTGGAGGTCCTTTCGATGTGAGACAGTTGTGAGACGTGGAACAGATGTCAAACAGATGTGCAAGGACGCCTCCTTCAAAGGACCCGTCCGGAAGCGTGCATAGCGCCTCTGAGAGGCGACGCAGGCAGCAGGCCGGACCTCGTGGTGCTGCCGCCCGGAGTGGGTCGCGAGTTCTGTAAGTCATGTGAGTGTTACGGTTACAAAGGCACCCCGAAGCACGGACAACACAGCCAATCATCTGCACTCGCGCCACTTCCTCAGCATCTCTGCACATCGGTTTGAGCCAATTTTGCCGTGCGGCCTGAAATAGAATTGGCAGTGAGGCTTGAAGGTGGATGGAATTGCCACAATATGCCCGCCATGGTGAGAAGCTTACAATATCTTACAAGGTCTTCCTGCTGTGAAATCAGCGTACAGGCGTACAGGCGTGGAACGGAAGCCGGCCTTTCAAGACACCCGGGGCCCACTTTGCTCAGACCCTTCTGGTGCGAACACTGTCAGCTGGAGCTTTCAGGCCACATTGTGTTGGCCAGGAGCAGCACAAGCATGTGCTGGGGGGGGTAGTTGCTTTGTGCTGGAGCAGATGCGTTGCAGATGTTTTCTGGCGTGAGGTCGACCCCCTACTGCTCTTACGTGCGGGAGCAGCCAACTACGTCGCTCCCCAATGCCTGACACGCGTCAGAGTTCCATGCCCTTTCGCGTTACCGAGGCTGCAGCCGCAGATGACTCGCGTGTCCGATGGCCTCGTGCATGCACAGGAGCTCCTGACAACCCTGCAAGAGTGCTAAATCAGCATTGCCTCTGCGATGCCGCCCGCATCGTGCGACGTGTGGCATTTTGTCTCAGTTCCGCAATGCCCAGCTGATCCTGTCTGTCAACGTGCGTCCGTCATGAGCTTGCCAATGCCTGCAACAAACAGTCCCAGCATGAATGTTCGATGGAATCTAAAGCAGGAGCATCTGGAAACTCGCAGATATCAGCTGAGAACCCGGTAGAACTGCGGATATTCTCGGGCCAGCTTCAGGCGCCTGAATGTGTTGTAATCGGCATGCCCAAGCCGCTGAAGGCCGACGTATGCGGATCATGGTCTAGCCTTCCGAATGCAGCGGGACGCGCGCAATGCCGATGAAGGCCCAGAAATTCAAGACAAGAGATTCTGTTGCTGTGTGAGCAGTAAACCTGGAGGATTTTTCAGATTTGGATCCTGCAGCTGGCTGGAAGGTTTGCCAAAGGCCAAGGCCGTGCCGACGCCGTCGGTTCCCAAGCTCTTAACGTGGCTGCAGAGTGGAGCTCGTAGTGCCCGATGTGGGATTTGACATGATTTGACACGTTGACGGCTTCTCGGCGTTCTCGGCTCAAGCCTGGATGCAACATCAGGAACTGATGAGGAGTAGATTACCCCAACTTTGCAGTACCACACCATCTAGCCATTGCGTCAGCACCACATGACAGCCACTGCAGTTGTACAGACGTTTGACACCCTTCTGTCGAACATCCTTCGCTGGGCAAGCACATCTTTCCAGAGACGACAGCTGGCAGTCAAGGTTGGCATCTTGATGGCAAAGAGTCAAGGAGTCAGCGAGCAACCCCTTGAATGGACGATAGCCGCGGGATCAGGACAGATGCTTGCATTGGCTAAGGCATCTTGTGTCAACCTTAGTCGTCCATTCGCCTACCAGTGCGGATGAGTCAAGGACGATGAGGACCCTTGAACTTTTTGGGGAGCGGAGTCGTTCCAACTCTTGGTGTCATCAGCAACAAAGTGGTGCAAAATTCGGAGTCAGTACTAGTCTCCTTTGGGAAGGAGAAGCCAAGTTGAAGGATACGAGGACATCCCGGACATTCCTGTCACTGTTAAGAACACGTGGCCTGGTTGCACGTTTTGGGGCAGGTTGCGTGGGTTGTCAAACGGCATGCCAGCCTAGGTTGTGTTCGTTCGTCCGTGGCAGGGAGAGAGAACATGATGGGGTTCGGGCCGACACACCTGAGGGAGGAGTTCCAGCGTGAAGGGGGGGGGGGCAGGTCTAGGGGGGGGCCCTGGAAGGGTATAGACCAGATCCTGCTTGTTCTAGACGCTTCGGCCGAAGCCGAGGCGAATTAACCTTTTCGGGGAGCCCTTCAGAAGCCAGGGTACAACTGCATAGATGGTGAAACCGGAAGTGCACGTTTTTTTCCGGCTCCGTAGAAATTGGGCGGGGGGGTAACGTGCCCGAGGGAAGAAAGAGGCCCGACGATCAAATTTTCTAGTATTAGAAAAATGAAGAACGAGGCTCAGTTGAGGAGAAGAAGCACAGTCTCTCACCGAACATGTAAGCAGCTGAGATTGGCACTGTGTGAACGAGGTTTGTCCACTTCGTCGAGGGTGGACCGGTCTGCGGTATTGTCGAGCGTTGGTCTTCCTGCCGGGGGCTTGGTCAAAATCTGACCAATTATGTCCGCCTCCTTCTTGAGAGCTTTTGCAGAGCGTCATCAGTCGGTATCTACATTCTAAGGCTCTAGCAGAAAGATGCGTTTAAGGTCCTGCCAACCTGGAACCGAGCAAGATCCAAATCACCTCTGTAGCCACAGCGCGGGGTGGCGCTTGCTTGCTTCGAGACTTTCCGTTCAACCTTGGCTTGTGCTGTGCTGCCTTTGCTACTAGTTGCTTAAGCACCCCAAAAGAATTAAGAATAGTAATCCCTATACTACCCTGATAAGGAAGAATACCTTCTTGTTTTTTGGGAGTTTTCAGCAATCAGTAGTTTGTGGTCGGCTGCTGTGCCCGGCAAGTGCATGTGAGTCCTGCGCCTGGCCAGGCGATGGGGATGATAGAGATGTCGAGAGCAGGCATCATGCTGCTGGACGTCTGCAGGATACGGGTGCACACGGTACAGAAAAGCTGGCGCAGAACCTACCCTCAGATTTCATCCCCAGACTTTTTGCAAGAGGAACAGCAGCGACGAGCACATCAAGCAGATCAGCCCGGATGGGGAGTCGGGCTGAAGCGATTTTTCCGCATACAGAAGTTGTGACTTCGGCAAGATACAGACCCATAAGCCTGGCAGCCTGCATGTGTGCAAAGGACGCAGTCTCAGCCTCACATGAGCATCCCGGACGCGGACGAGGAGCCGGGAGAGGTGTTTGCCACGCGCTTGGAACCCACGTGAGGAACATGCACACTTGTTGCAAGTCTTACACGCCCTTTTTAAAGCCTCGGAGCTTCAAAGGCTACCAGAGCGCAAGAGCTCCGTCTCAGCAAGACAATCAACCGCAGCTCGGCCAGAACGGCTGAGGGTACATTCTTTGATCACGCTCGATGGTCCGTTGGATGTCCACTTTCTTGAGGGTTCATGGGGAGCTACCGACGGCATACGTACCATAAATGAAGATTGTAGCAATACAGTAATACACAACTGCCCATTGTATGGCCACTTCTGCTGCGATTGCTGCGGCGAGGTGAAATAACGCATGCGGCAAGCAAAGGCCGGTGGAGAGGGATTTGCAGCTTTGCGAGCTTCCTGACCCGTGAACTTCTCTGAGCCCTGTTTTCCTGATACCCCCACCCCCTCCCTTCCCAGAAAGTTCAATCCAAACCACTGACGTCAAAGCGTGTGTGGGCTCCCCTGCAAGGCAAAGTCAAAGCAGTCCTCGATGTCACCTGGAGCCGATTGATGTCGATGAATGGCCACGTGGTGAGCAGTTGGATGGTGCACTCTGAGTTATTGACCTTAGCGGTAGATTTCCGGAACTTGACTGCCTAATGGCCTCAATGCGCGGCAATTGCAGTCATGATGACTTGAAGACAAAATTAGGAATGTGGATTGAACAGTGAAATCGTTTGTTCTGCTTACTTTCAGATGGTGCTCGCTCGGCATCGATTGGGTAAGGACTTACGACCTAGAATCCAGCCAGAGTCTGAACAAACTTTAGTTTCAGCACGTCTCGACCGACTGGGCGTTGTGTTATAAAGTCTACAGCGAGCTTCGAACATCAGCGCTCGGTATGTGGTCTCTGGTTTGGGCAGCCAGACTTCCAAGAGCGCTAAGTAGGCGGTTTTCAGGTGTGGGCAGGTGCGGGTTTTGAAGAACGCTCGGTGCGTTGATGTCGGGTGGAGGGTGGTTGGTTCGAACTGCCTCCAGCCAGACACCGATAGCGCGTACATTCGTTGAGGTGTTTGCGGTGTGTGTTGGGTTGTTATGTAGGTGTGGTTCCCCAGAGAGAGGCTCGACATAGTCAATCAAACTCTTGTTTTTCATGGAAGCCATCGTGGATGCGTTCAATTCTGGAACAGGGAAAAACAATGACCTAGCTTCAATGTGCCCGGCGGACGAGCCTAAGCCATCATTTGGGCGTGACTAAGGCGTTTGCTTATTGTAGGTACAGCTACTAAGGAAGCCGAGCCTTGCGCCATGTTGCCTTTTGTTGCGTAGGAAAAGGAGCAGGGGATGAGCAAAAGCTTCTGAGGCGTCAACCTCGCCACGGCATTGCACCGCATAGCCCGTCACAGCTCTGAGGACCCGGATTTAGCCGCAGACTGCGCTTTTGTAAATTTTGGCTGTGTGAACTTTGCCTTCAGGCGAAGGCCCAATCCCCCCATCCCCCCCTCAGGATCCGTCTCAGACCGCTGAAGTTCACAAGCATCCCGGTGGCCCGGCTTTGTTTGGTGCGATCGTGGCCTGGGCCTAGATGAGTGATGTGTTTGAGATTGCACGGCATTGCCTGTGCACATCTGCGTCAGGCTTCGGCCCAATGATGAAGGCCATTGAGAGGTGGAGGGTTTGCCTTTCATGCCTTTCCTAGCATGCAAGACCCTGATAGGCCGAGAGGTTTTCATTGTCTCGCTGTCATGAACATCCACCGCTGCAGGAAAGCGAGGTTTGCCTTAGAATCTGGGCAAGATAGCAACTCTGCTGAAGCCCAATCTGCCGGCTTTCCGGCCCAGTGCGCCAGCATCATTGCGTGGTCTTGTGCGACGCTCCTTGGACTAACCCAGCGCAGCAAAAGGGGAACACGGTGGACTTGAAGAAGTGTGCACGATGCCGTGAGCTCAGGCTGTCAGCCTTGGCCTTAGTGGGAAGCCGTGTATTCTACTTGGGGCACTTGGCAAGGTGCGAGAAAATTCGACTTGTTAGCATGTGTGTTGAGGTTCGAGATGAAGGCATGCTTGCAATACTGGCAGAGCTGGCTGGACCCCGATTGCGCGAATTGAAGCCGTACGAGGTCCTTGCCGGGTGTTGCGGACGAGTTTCTGGCAACGGTAAGCATATGTAAGCAAATATTAAACATGGTCACGGCTCCAGGGCATAGGTGAAATAGGAGAGCAAGTGAGTGAGAGTGACGCCGGCACTGCTCCGGATCTGTGCATCAACACCAAGGCGGCCAGAATCTCAATCTCGTCTGGTTAGTTGCAGGGCTGTTAGGTTGCCTGTATGCAGGTTACGAATCTCATTTGGGCATTTGCGAAGCTCTCTGTTCCTTGTGGTCCGTTGTACCAGTCCCTGGCCAGCAACGTTGTTCTGTCTACGACATCTCTGATACCATGCGGGCAGGGATGCAAGTTGGCATGGCTGGCAGCTCAGGAATGCGGCAAAGATGCTGCAGACGCGACAGCGTGGAGAGTACAAGGCCCTCTCATTTGCATGTACATTGCTTGTGGGTCAGCTTACTCGCGCACCCCAGCTGTGCGATCTGAATCTGAGGCGCAATGCCTCTCTGCAGCCATCTGGTCGTTTGCACAATCCGCTGCGCTTTCAAGGACTCGCCATGGACGTCCAGGGTCAGCATGAATAATCATGTGGCCTGTTTAACACACAGGGGTCCAGCACACCAAGGCATCAAGGACAGATAGCAACAGCATCAGGGTTGAGGGGGGGGGGTAGGGGGTGAGGCTCGCTTAGGTTGGGCGGATGTGGATCTCTCGAAGAAACAGAATCCATATTGTTGAGAGCATTGCATAGCAGATGCCAAAGCAGCGCTGGCACACAGAGCTGCCACTATGCGCTCGAAAGGTTGAAAGGTTCTCGCTTGCCTAAGCTGAAGAATCTGCAGAGCACAACTTAACCAATCTTAACCACACCTGATGTAACACTCCTGCATGCCTAGCTCTCCGCCAGGAGCAGTGAAGCTCACAACTAGTAGCTTGCGTGTCTGTCGCTGAGTCTGTGGCGCATGCACTCGAGTGCAGGACTGCGCAAGCTCAGCTTTTCAAGAGCATTGGCGACGAGATGGTCCCACAGGTTAGTTCCTTGAAGCCCCAAGAGATGGCCAATACGGCGGCTCGGCGAGCTTGGCCTCCGGCGACCCTCCATTTAAAAAAAAACACCGAGAGTAGTCCTCTATAATATGACTTTACATCGCATGTTATTCGAACTCTGCCTAGGTCTGGTCCTTTGGGCATGTCCGTGTGAAGCACCAGCGTCTCTTCGAGGACCGTTCTGTTTTCCCCTATGTGTAACATGGTGGCTTGCTTGGTGCCTTAGTGCCTGTGTGCTCGGCAGGAGATCTGTGGTGCTTTTGCCAACTCCCCGGGAGCATCTCGATTTAGCACCTTGCCCGCAGAGATCCATAGGCTGCCGAAAGCACCGGCTGCGCACTTTGAGACACTACGAGTTTCGCTGGATCGTGCTGAGAAAGTGTTCGTAGACGGAGGCGGTTGAGGCAAAGGTCGGAACAAAGTCAAATGTGGCAGGAGAGGAGACTGGGTTGAAAGGGGTTCTAGGGATCTGGGGTTTCAGGCTCAAGGACAGCTACTAAAACGACCGGTGCCCTACATAGTTCTTTTGACCAAGCGCTAGTTTTCTATTCGGATTTAGGGGCTAGGTATACTATTAGATAGCTGAATTGAATCATTCCGTGGCTCTCATGGAGAGATAAGTCCTGCAAGCGGCAACTCGGGGGGAAGTATATACAGGGCACCCGCCCACGCTTTTTTTCTCCTCGCAGACCGGACTCTGGACTCGGGGGGCAATGCTCTCTCGTCCTAGGCCCATAGCTCGGGTCTCGCGTCAGGCCCCAAGCGGTCAATCCGGAGCTGCGCTTCCGTAAGCCGTGCATTTTTTCAAATCATATGAACGATTAAAACCCATCAGGCCACTTTTTTCGAAGCTGCGCCCGCAAACTGGCAGTGAAAGCGAATCCCCAGTACCGGACAAGAACACCGTGAGCCAAGGGCACGCGACTGCACGGGGGTTCGTCAACCAAGTTCTCTGAGAGGAAGATTGTGAGAGAACGAAATGCGAAAAGCTCCACCTTGCCCTTGGTGGGGTGTGGGCTAGGGGTTAGTATTGGGTGCTTCGAGTTTTTGCCATGCTTTAGCGGTGCAAAAAGGCATTCTTTCAGGTCTTGGGGCCACAAGTTCCAAATCTGGCTGCTAAAAGGCTTAGGGTTTAGAATGGGAGTAAGATTGCCGATTGCGAACTTAGGCATTCCGCAGCTGACAAGCATTTTGGTGGGATGCGCTCAGGCACTACCGAATACTCCGATGGTCTCTCCATTTTGCTTTGCAGTATGCACCCGCAGACAGTTGCAGATCCGGAGGTGCACTTCCATCAACCCGAAGTCATTGGAAGAATAAGCGCAGTGTTGCTGCGCAACAGCCATGTCCTCACTGCGGAACAGCTGTGGCTCGGACGCACGTGCGCCTCTTGTGTTGCGATTCTACGTAGCACCCGGCGAAGAACTGTTTAGCCGGTTCATGCACCATCATGCATGGCCAGGTGGGGTTGTTCAAATACGAGTCTAGGGACCAGCCTTAAGGGCTTGTTTCGGGCATAGTTGTATTGAACGTATGTACGTCTGGCAGAGCCTTATTTGGGACCTGATGTGGCGACCAGTGAGGGCGCACGCTATGTGATTTTGTGCAGTCCTTGGCTCTGGGCAAAGTTGCGTGGAACCTGGACCTAGGCTTCTTAAAAGCACAGGCCCCAAACCCAAAAACCGGGTCCTTTTTCCCCTGCTTCCGTAACCTACAGACCCCCACATACAAGTACTGAGTCCTCTGACATCGTGCCCACCTCGTCGGACACTCCCCACGCACCCAACAGGTCTTCCGTTTTGTGGTCCTTGGCGGAGCTGGATGCACGCGACCGTGTCCTTCTGGTGCAGAAGCTCTTGGAACCTGACCTGGCAATGACTGCCACACGATGCCACACAGAGCATTCTGTGGCTTTGCGGGTCGTGTGAGACGCATGCAGCAAAGGACATGGCAGCTGCAGACCTGACTTCCTTCAACCATGAGGAGTGTGGATTGTTTTCCATCACAGTTCTGCCTAGGAGTGGCCGTAGGCTCCCCTTGAAGATCGCTGGACCCATGCTGTACAGGACCTACATACTGTCATGGCAGCAGCCAGAACGCTGTGCCCGCAGCACCGAGTCTTCTTTGATGCTTGCAAAGTCGCTCGGCCAACGAGCATGCAGTGCTTGTTCGGACAGAGCAACAGGGTTCCACTTTTGTCATGTCCGAGGCCATTTTTGGAGAGGACAGAAGTCGAGTCATGGCCGCAGGGAGGTGGGTTGAAGAAGTCGCAAGAAACTCGGAAACTTTTCCTCCATGGAGCCATGATTTGTAAGAGCCTGTTGTGGCAGGACAACACAGCTCTCATGACTAGGCAAAGAAGAGAGGTCGTGCTCAAAGCTTGCCGGTGTGGGCTCCTGCATGAAGCTAAGGAGACGGAGCGCCCCTGCACGGCATATTGGAAGACTCCGAGGAAGAATGAGGTGCTCAGCTGATGCGCGTGTTCCAGCGGCAAGGGCTTGAACCGAAGTAGTTCAGGGGCCCGCTTCGATGGTGAAGCACATTTTGCCTTGCGGTGCACTGTCTTTCGGCTTTGAGAATTTTTTCCAAGCAGCATTTGCACCTTCTGATATAGAGATGTGTAACGTCAGCAGTTGTGCTAGAGAGAGCACCGCGAGCTGAATTTTATCCTGATTTTCGTTCCAAGCGGGCAGGCAGGGCCCAGACAACTAGCTGCACCTAGACCATCAGCCCACGTTGTCGTCCCGAACTTTTTCCCCGCCTGATTCCGCCAGCTCTCGCAGAGTTGTGGCGGGAACTAGCCGCCTCACAAAGTCGGCATGGGCCGAGCTGTGTGCAACTTGCCCGGCCCCTACTGTATGCGTACGTCTTGCGTTCGATTTCCCCCCCCACATGCAGAAATGGAATTGCCAGGGCAGCTGGGCAGAGTGCACAAATACCAGCAGCATCCGCCCAAATCTATGTCCCAAGTTGATGCTTCGGCTGCGCACCTCGGCACGAGATGTGGCAAGCCGTTGCGTCGACATCAGCGGTGCAAAACGGTTGAGCGCGACCACCGGGTGGCCTGTTGGCGACGCTCGAGAGACCTCGTTAAGATTAGCTAGAATTTTGGTCTTCTCAGCGTTGCTAAAGTTTCTGCGCGACCCCAAAGACTCTCAGTGCTAGTTTTGCACGGCTGCGGGGGATGGCCTGCTCAAATCGTTGTGAGATCGTTGGCAATGATGCGGTGTTTTCGCAAAGATCCAGGTCTCCCTTGAATAGTCTGATCATCTAGTTCGCATTGTACAAATCACCAGGCCCATGCTTGAACCGCGGAAAGAGCACGCGGGCAAGCAGAGTGCCAGTGGCGTGACGTCAGTGCCGCCTGTCGAGCGTGCAAGCACCTATGGATGCGTTGGCACGGTGCACGGAAAGAAGCGCCGAGTTGCGGTGGGATTTGCTGTTCTGACAAGGAGCAGTGCGCATTTGGGCAGAAGCCTTGCGTAGGACTGCAGAAATAGGCCCGTTACCCCTGTCCAGTACACGCTCTGATGTGGCAAGGTCGTCCGTATCCATCATGAAGCCTCAGCAGGCTGCGCCCTGTGCATACAGATCCGCACAAGACCTGTCGGATTTGCATTGTTTCCCTGAAAACAACTCAAAGGGAGGCTCGCTTGAAGTTGTTCTTCAGATTCTTCAGCATACGCCACATCCAATCTGAAAGGCAGCTCTGAAGGTTAACTACACGCCCCTCAAGCTGAGTGCTCAGATAAGGGCAGTGTTGGTTTCATCGCTCCCCCCCCTCCTAATGCCAGAGCACACGCTCTAAGACAAGATGCCTGATGCAGAGGCATCCTGTCTGGTGGGGTCAAGCCGCATTGCCAGAGGAGTCTGACAGGCCAACGTATGAGGCTGGGCATCGTTTTTTGCTTGGCATTGCCAACTGCGAATGGGAATGATTGAAGGACCTGGGAAACTATTACCCACCACAGCGGACCACTATTGCCGGCAAGGACCTGGCACTACTGACTTGACTTGCAGAGGGATTGGCAATTGGTGGTCCAGTACCTTTCTAGTGCGACTTGACCAGGACCGTAGCTTCAATCAAGTGACATGGAACGGCCTTCTGCCGCAACCCATTGACATGAAAGAAGAAGCAACATTGAAATGCATCATGAGCAGAGCATTGCACACACACCCAAGATTCCAGCAAAGATGCTGGATTCAGTTACCAAAATGCATTTGTGACAATGAGCATGCGTCCGCCGAGCGTGTGATCTCCGCCATGTGGAGCAAGCTGCGCGATGTCGGTCTCCTACTCTCCCTTACTGTTGCTGTGTGGGCAACTGATTGCGTGACCGAGACCGGGGTGTGCTACCAGGGGTCCAACCTGGCCATTACTCTTTCTCAAGCCTCCATTGCAGAAGGATGTCAGGAGGTCGGTGGTACTGTTGACTGCTGTGATTTGTGTGCCCAGTACTGGCCGCAGTGTATTTCCTGGCAGTTCATTCAAGAGGGCAACGCTGCTAATGGCTACGCAGGAATGGCTTTCTATTGTTGCTTGAAAGGGAGCTTTCGTCCAGACCCCTTGGAGGCTGCATACTGTTCATCTGGTTATTTCAACCCGAGTTGCACTATGACAGGTTCCTGCAGCTTTGAAGTGACCGGAACGGGCTTCAATGAGAACTCGAGCATCTTGGCATTGGACTCATCCGCAAGTGCATGTGGCGCCGGTGCCGCTGAAGCCTGGTCAGGAATCACGAACCCGCAGGTTGCCACCAGTGCCGTTGATCCAACTGCAGTCTTCGACCTTGGGACTGCGTCAGGTGGATCGCCTGGTGATTTCACGTTGTGCTACTCTTCAACCACTTCTGCTAATGCCGAAGACTACACAACGCTCATCGGGAATTTTACCATGAAGGGTCCTCTCAGTGGACAGAGCTTCACATGCACCCTGGGATCCGACTGCACTTTAGTCCTAGCTGGCCACAGCCAGTCAGCAACCGGTGCAGCCTACAAAGTCCTTGTTGTGGAAGGCTCCAGCTGCGGCGCTGGCAATGTGGCTGCCAGCTTCTCTGGCACCTTTGAGAACCCTCGTATCGTTTGGGATAACGATGATGACAACTACTACGAGCTGAAGATTGCAACCTTGGGCGATACGACGGCCATCTACTCTCTGTGCTGGGCTGCAAGTCCCGTAAACGTCGAGGACTACACATTTCTGGTGGGCAGCTTCGTCATGACAGGGCCAACTTCAGGAATGGCGCATGTCTGCACTATGGGCCAAGCTTGTACTGTGACACTCCAGGGAGAAGGTTTTACTCAGACTAATGCAATCCTGGCTGCCGTTGGAACATATGATGCCACGTTTGGGAGCATCTGTGGCTTCCTTGATGACTCGCTGGTGGCATCATTCGGCGCGAGTTTTGTACACCCGGTGCTAGCTGATCAAAGCTCACCCTATGCAGACTACGCTTTCGGACCAGCGTTAAGTGCTCACAACAACCTGCCTGGAAGTGGGTATCGGCTTTGCTGGGCACCTACACCAACACAGACACCGCCTGCCAAGACAAATGGGGACTACGCCATCGATGCTGGCTTGTTCACCTTGCACGGCCCTGTGCAGAGTAATCACAATTGTGTATTGACCGTCTCCTGTTCAATTACCCTCACTGGGTCTGGCTTTGATTTGGGTGCTCACGGGTTGCTTGTGCTGGAAAGCGGTGCGTCCTGCACCAACAGCAGTGCCGCCCTGGCCAGCGCATCGCAGCAGACATGGACGAATCCAGCGGCGGCAGCTGGTAACGACACGTTTTCTTTTGGCATTGCTGCTGCAGGAATACCTAGCAGCAGCTATGTCATTTGCTGGGCCTTTCAGCCGACCAACCAGGCAGACTACACAGTTTATGTCGGAACGCTCGAGATGGGAGGGCCTGACTTGCTCTCAGGTTCCGTGTGCATCAAGGGTGAAGAGTGTATCCTGACTCTGACGGGTGTGGCCCTTGCCAACACGAACAAGATGCTTGTTATCGCAGCGGGCAGCGCATGTGGCGTGGGCGCGGTTCCAGCTACCTTCAGTCCCATGGAGGTCGAGAAACTGGTTCAGGATGGCACCTTCACAGAGTACAGGCTCGGGCGACCAAACACCGGAACTGCCCAAGCTGGATACACACTTTGCTGGTCAGCCAGTCCAAGTGTCACATCCGACTTCATGTTCACGCTTGGTGACTTGACGGTTACTGGTCCCAATGTGCAGGACGAGGCCTGCACATTTGGGGTGTCCTGTGTTATCAACCTCATTGGGTTAGATCTTCAAAGCACCAACAAGGTCGTAGTACTTTCAGCAGGCAACTGTGGTGACAATGCGCCCACCTTAGCTTCCATCACAGGAATGCTATCCACCATCCCCGTGGAGTCACAGTCGCCTTATGCCACTTACGACTTGAACACGCCTTTGTCTGGGCAGCCACGGACAGACTATCTTCTTTGTTGGTCACATTCGCCTGGAGATGGCGGGGCGTCATTTTACAAGGTGCCATTGGGCTATCTGACCATGAATGGCCCGGCGCAGGTGGCGCAGCACTGCATCATGGGCACGGAGTGTGATATCACGTTGGCTGGTGTGGGCTTGGCAGACACCAACCAAGTCCTCATCATCGATGCCGATAGCTCTTGTGGCGACCCTAGCCCGACGGTGGCAGTTTTCGACGGCTTGACCAACCCGGCAAGTCCCGAGCTGGGCAATCCAGGCCTGTACAAGCTTGGCATTGCACGGACGACTTCAGACGGGCCGGGCAGTGGCTACACCATTTGTTGGGGCAACAATGCCAGTAGCGAGAATTTTAACATCCAGCTCGGGACGTTCTCAATTGATGGGCCTGCTCGTGAGACCTCCCTACTCTATTGCACTCTGGGGCTGTCATGTTCGATTCAAGTAACGGGAGTTAACCTGGCAGCTACCAACAAGATCACCATCACTACCTTGAGCGATGTCTGTGGTCAGACAAACTTGAATCTGGTCTACTTCGATGATGCCTTGAATCCAGTCAATGCGTCTGGAACTGACTATGACACGTTTGACCTTGGTGTTCCAACCGGAGGATATCCTGGTGACTACAAGGTGTGCTGGGGTTACAGTCCAACGCAGGAGTCGGACTACCATGTTCCTGTCGCCACCCTTCGCATGGGCGGACCAGTCGCCCAGGATAACGAGTGTACACTGAGTGAGCCTTGCAAGATCACAGTCGCGGGCGTGCGCCTGTCGCACGCCAGCAAGTTGCTATTCATTTCGCAAAGCAGTAGATGTGGCGATACATCGCCTTCGGTCATCACGTGGTCAGGCATCAACAACCCTGCTGCAACGGATCTGATGGTGCCGCCATCAGCCCCAGGTTATGTGTACAGTGATGGTGATCGGTATGATGGCGGGCTTGGTTTCTCGGGAGTGCCGGGCCTATACAGGATCTGCTGGGGCTTTGACCCATTCAATGGCTATCCAGACTACAAGGTCACCCTTGGAAACTTCATCATGAACGGCCCTGTGCAGGGCATGGATATAGCTTGTACGCTAGGCAAGGCCTGTGTCGTGGAGCCGACTGGCGTGGGATTGAATGCGACCAATCAGATTGAGGTCGTTTCGAATGCGGGTCTTTGTGGTTCTACGGAGGCCGTCACCGCCACCATCCCTGGCCTCTCGAGTCCGGCGTACGTCACGGATGGGACTTATGCCCTCGGTTCCGCAGTCCAAGGTGGCAGCTATGCCCTGTGCCGCGTTCCATCTCCAGCTGAAAGCTGCATCGGCACGCACTACCGTATTTGCTGGGCCCACGGTGTCCATGCCGGTGGAGCAAACTTTGTTGTGGAGCTCGGACTGTTCAGCTTGAGTGGTCCATATGGGACTTATCGAGTTGACTGTAGCATGGGCTCAGTTTGCAGCTTTATGCTCTATGGCTCCAAGTTTGAGCTCACCAATAGGATCCTCCTGATTGAGCAGAGCAAGTCCTGTGGCGACTCATCTCCTGTAGTTGCTTCCTTTGCTGGCCTCATGAATCCTGGAGTGTTTAGCAGAATCGCAGCTGATGGCTCCTCTGCGACGGTCCGTTTGGGCCAATCCCATGCAGGGAGACCAGATGCTTATCGGATTTGCTGGGGCTTCGATCCCGTTGTACCATCAGATTACAAAGTGGATGTAGGACTCTTTTACTATCACGCAGTACCGGACGGTTGCACCCCAGGCGTCTTTTCCTACACTTGCTCCTTGCCTCGTTGAGAGTGCGGGTGGCGGTGCTTGACTCACTGGGTTGTGCAGCGTAGCCTGTGCACATGTTTCACAACGATTATCTGATCTCAGATGTTAACGATGTGGTCAGAGTTCCGGCCCAGCCACAATGGTGGCACTTGATCCAACAGCAAAGCGGATGCATGGAGTCATTTTCGTCCACTGCCGTGAGGCCACGTCCGCGACAGTGTTCAGATATCTGCCGTGTGGCTCAGGGGCATCATGTCCTGAGATATATGTAGTTGAGTGCAAGCCTCACGGCATGGCCCCCCCTGCAACATGAAACAATGTCTTAGGCAGATGCATGGGAAGGAATCTGGTCATGTCAAACGTTGTCAAGGGAATGGTATGTGCATGGGCCAATGATATCATCAAAGCAGTCGCAGCCATTGCCACCTTCAGAGCCGGTCGGCCACACAAAGTTTGACATGTCTGCTTCATCCGCTGCCGTTGTTTTGCGCGGGGCCGCTGCGCGTGGCTCGCAGCTGGAGGCAGCAGCTCTTGCGCGCGTGGTGCAGCCGAGGCCGCTGCATGTCAAGCACACAGTTGTCGGGTGATTGTGGCTGTTACTCGGATCAATGGCGGGCATTGGAACAAGTAGTTTATAACATGTGTCGGGGAACAAATGCTGGCCCGTCCCTCAAAGCAGGAGAGCCAGAAACAAAGGCTGAGCCAACGACGACTCGCGGAAGCGTTACGGTAATCAGGGGTCTCGCTCGTAGTTTCGGGTTTTTTGCGATTCCCTTCAGTAGGGGGGCGCTATCAGGCTCTGCTGCTCCAGCAGGACATGCCATGGTCTTTGCTTCATGCTCGATCGTGCGCATTGCAGCATGATGCATGCTGCAATAAGCCAACGCGCGGAAGAAACATAGATCTGTTTGTCTCCTCACACAGCATGGCTCGGAAACGCCGGCCGGGCTTCCTTCATCGTTCTTGCCCACCGCAATGCCAATACATGGCAACAAAGCAATCAAGAGCGTCTTCGTCTTCCGTAACCTAGCTTGCCCAGTTATTTTAGGATGTAGTCATTGCTCTCTTCTCGGTACCCGGCATCTTCAGACAAATTCAAGCTACGTGGGCGCGTTCTTGAATATTTCGCAAGGACTGCTTGCCAGAGTCCAAACCCCAAGCTTGCAGGTACTGAAATGGGGAATAGCAGCAATAAGTAAGCAGTAGCAATGAAAATCACATTACTCAGTAGGCATGGTAGAAGTAATGCCAAAGATCAAAATGATAATGGAGGGGGGGTGGGGCACAAGCACCGGCCTTAGATTGCTCCCAGTGGAGCGAAAAACAACCTAGCAGGGCTCGAGACCACCTTCAGCTTCAGTCAGACATCTCGTGCTGTCCGAAGGCGGCTGTTCTTCGACACTGCCCCAGGCGCAAGAAGGGACACAACCGACACAACCACAGTGGCAGTCAGTCGCACCTTAAGAGACATGATCGAGTCCATGCGCGTTGCGGCGTGGCTTTGTCACGAAGCTACGTCAGGTTTGGAGCCGATGCTGCAGCGTGAGCTGGAGGCAAAGAAGCCTTCAGGAATGCCTTGGAGGGCTTAGGGTTTAGGGTTTAGGGTTTAGGGTTTTGAAACAGCTAATGTCCCCACAGATGTCCACTCTGCTGCTGTTTTCAGCACCCTCAGAGCGGTCTCGAGCAGGCTCTGGGCATCCTTCGAGGTAACGCAGAGCTCTATCATGGTGGGCTTCATGCGGAGGCCCCTGATATGATGCCCTGAGAAGGCATATAAAGGCATAACAGCGGATAAGAGTGTTGTAGCAATTTGCGGTTCAAAACAGCGGTCATGCAAATTAACAATAGTGTATGACCTCATGATGTGCCTTCACTGTATTCTATGCACTTCTTTGCAATGGAACGGGGGGCTGCCTCACGACCTTACGTTGAACGATGCCAGCTGAGGCCCCGGAGTCGGCGCTTTGGCGTGCTGCGTTGCAGAGCCGCCTCCTCCTCGGTGGACGCCTAGGTGCTCTCCGGCTGCGAAAAAAAAGCACGGGAACAGAACTGCAAAAAAGCAGTGTTCGAGTTTGCCTTAGCTTCGCGAATTTATTTGCCTTATTCCACGGTCACCCCCTCTCCCCGCATGAACGCATCGCGGCCTTGGGCACTCTGGAGTTATTGGCATCACATCTCGGAGGTGTTGGAGAGCCTTTTCATGCTGGCTACGAGTCGACGCTGGCAAATTACGTGCCGCCCTAAGCTTCGTGTGGTAGATTGTGGTCTGCCTCCAGTGCCAAGCGATGTCAAACGATCTCAGCGGGCTCAGTGCTGCGATGCCCTAGGTAGCTGGCATCCCTTGGCCTGACTACATGTGGTTTGGGGCAGAACCGGCAAACCCACCGCCACTTGCTGCACGTACTTGGTCACGATCATCCGAGCACGAAGAAACGACTTCCCGACGCACGCAAGCTGCAAAGGTTGAAGGTCCACACAGAGAAGTCGCGCCTGTACCACACGGATGTCATTGAGCGTGCAGTTCTCAGCGGCGGCCTGGCTGCACCAGCGCCTTGCAAATTAGTAAACATTAGCAAGCTGAGTCTGCTTCCAACCCGCGATCTGCCATGCATCCGGATGCGCTCGACACAGGCATTGAGCGGCGCCGCCAGTTTTTCATGAACCTCCGACTTCAACGGAATGAGGATGACACATTCTATGGCAGGAGCAGCCGCAACCCAGACCCTCGGCTGTGACAGCCGCAACGTTGAGGAGGAAGCGGGCAGGCGAAGAACGGTCTCCTGATCATTTGAGCATACGTAGCTAAGGAGAGGCCACCCTTGCCGACTCTTCATGTTGAGCTGAAGAGGTGGGGCCTGCAGACACCTTCATAATCCTTCATAAACGATATTGACTGTGCAGATCAGGAACGAGTGCCACTTGAGCGTGGCTTCCACCACAATACCGCAGAAGCTTGGCTTGCCGTAGTGCAGGCAACGCCTCTGTCCGTACAATGAAACCTCTGTGAGGTTGCGTGCTTATTCCCTTGCAGTGGAGGAAATGGAGGACCTGAAGGAGGTGCATTAGGGGTGCTCGGATTGCAATCCGCTTTTCGCGCTGGTGTGCCACAAGCAGGGGCGTGGAAGTGGCTGGACGCTGGGCGAGTCTCATGCGGCTGCCTGCGTGCGCTGCTCGGAGTCTGCTCAGATATGCAGAAACTCGAGCCCCAGTCACTCTCGAGCCAGATTCGCCTGTCACATCCTGTCGCCCTCCCTGGCGACTAGTGAGGTGTTGAAGTCCCAGTGCTTGCAGCTGCTAGAAGAAAACAGCAAAGCTGGGCAGCTCATCAGCATTTCGCAGCATTTCGCAGCATTTCACAGCATTTCACGGCATGTTGAACTTGGACCGTTGGCTTCCGTCACGGGGTTTGTTAAACAACTGTTAAACATGTTGAAGCTTTGTTGCTGCATACCCTTCCCCACTGTTCCCCAGAAGCAGGGTATGGCCGCGGCCTTGGATCTATTTAGAAGCAGTTGGTCAGCATACTTGATGCAGGGCTACAGTTGAGGCATTCCTCCCAGGACTCATGAGGTAGTGCATATTTTCAATGCATGGACGGGTGTTTTTGCGCAAAAAATAGTCTCTGAAGGGTGTCATCTGCAATCACACAGCTTCGTGGTTTTTTTCGAAAGCTTGCCGTGACATCAGTTGAGGCGACATTTCTGTGTGTGGGACCCTTTCTGCGGCCGCGGTACACTACTTCTGGAGGCCCTGGGCCTGGCCTTAGGCGTGCCTCCGGCTAGTCCAGCAGGGTGCTCAGCGTATTGAGCATATGCGTCTCCGAACCTACACAGCATACCCGGCACATGTAGGAAGGAGACTTTTGCGAACTACAAATGCCTTTGCAGCACAGCTCTTGCTAGCTTCAGCTGAGGTCATGCAGATGCCGTTTCAAGAGTTCCCCAACTTTGATCGAGTCCGCTTCCGAGAGGCACGGGACAAGGGCCTCAAGGAAGTGAATAGCACTTGGATTTGATTCCGTTAGCAGCTGGGCTTGATTCTGCTAGAGGGAAGGGAAGGTCTCGCTCTCTCCCAAGGAAGACAACCTCATCAACCCAAAAAAGCACTTCAATCACAAGCCACTTCTGGATGTAGAAGTGTCAGGGTGTTTTTTTAAATTGTTTTCAGGCGTTGGTGCGGCTGACGTGACTGCGATTTTCTTGAAGAGCTGAGAGAGATACGAAGATAAGGTTGAGTGCGCTTGGCAGTTGTTGACGAGGTGGTGCGCTCGCTTGAGCTATCTCCTTCTCCATCAGTCTCCAACCTTGTGCTGGTTGGCAGCCACAGCGATGCTGACATCCTCAAGGTGGCCAATAGGAATCTGCAGGCGCCAGCTTTGCAGAGAGGGACGCCGTGGCCATGGCTCACGAGACCTTTGAGATGGGAGTCTGTTTCAGAGTGCGTGCGAGGCTTTTGCTCGCGCCCTCCCGCGCTCGCGATCAGGGCCAGGATCCCTCCTCTGGCCATTGCCCAGTGGTGACGTGGCGGACAAGGAGGCAGGATCGCAGCCGGGTAGCCGGGCAATGCTGTGGTAGACTGAGTTTACGCAGCTTCACGGCTTAGCAGAGTTCTAGTTCGGACTCGAACTTTAACCGGATTATCGGCCTTTTCGGTAGGACCGGATTGTCAGATGCAGGATCCTCTGAGCATCTCCAAGAGGCGGCTTCCGTGCTCTGTGACGTTTCAGTGCAACGATCCTGGGTCGATGCTGGGGGTTCTACGTGGTCACCCCACGATGATTCTGACCAACGTGCCGCGGTTTCTGTTGAGCCAAAAGCCTGTGTCCCGTGTGTTTCCGATTTCCGCTCAGTTGCCGCACCACAAGACTTGCACTCATCCGGGTGCGTTTGTAAGGTTCCTTATGGCAACAAGGTCGACTCTAAGAAGGACCAGCGCTTGTACGCCCGCTTTGGCAAGATGCTGAAGGCAGAGCAGGCGCACGGCTACCTCCAAGGCGTTTTTTGCCTTTCCGCTCGCGAGGACGCAATCATCTGTGCAAAGAGTGCTCACAAGATCGATCGTAACACTCCTTTCGCAGCGAAGTTCTGCTGCCATTTGCGGGATTCTTTGCTGCATCTTTTGTCTCCTTGCAGGACTTCAAGCGCCTGACCGGACTGGACTGGCGAACTGAGCTACGCTTTCAATGTAGTGGTGCCTGAGCCTTGGACCTACGCGACATGCTTCAACGATGCAGTGAACACATCAAGACCCTAAGCGCGCCCTACAGGTTCAAGTCGAGCTATTGCGGTGGACTGGCCGCACAGCTTCGTCGGCCCAATGGCGCATAGACAAGGCCCCAAAGAAGGCGCCTGTGACAGAGGCAGGACGCATGCTAAGCTCGGGAACCATATCATGCCGTCCCACACATCGTAAGCCGGACTCACCCAGCATTTTCTGCTTATGAGGAGCTTGCCAAAGCAGATCCCGAGCCTGAACGGCCTGAACCTGCTTCCGTCCACGGCCGAAAGTCGAAGAGGAGGGCAGTCAGAGAGTAGCCTTCAGTCCTTGAAAGGTTCCCTGCCTACTCGCCAGGATGTTGGCGTCAACTTCGCACGCGCAGCCTCAGTCTCCCGCGAAGGCCATGTGCTCAGAAACTTGCAAAGTGTCGACGATTTCTGTCCGACGATGCAGGAGAGGCCACAGGATGCGCGTGGCACAAAATGGAGACGCTTTGCTTGGGCCTTCTTGCTGGTGTGTTTGTGCGGGCCAGCGAGTGCTGTTTGGTGATGCGGTGGTCATGACAGGCCTTGGTGATACCACTTGTCAGCTGACAGATGTTTGTGCCGTGCAGGAGATGCTCCGTGCAGAGAGCCTGCCGGCCCTCCGCGGGAAATACAAGTAACACAGCTGCAAGATGGACCACACAGGATTGTGCCATTAGAGTTGCAGCATGCCAGAACCTGTTTGTGCTTGAGGCATGACAACCCGTTTCTGGGCACAGGCCGGCCTCGCCATGGAAGTTTCAACTGCAGGCGGTTGCGCGCCCGACAGGCAGTGCCTACCGACGTGCCCCTGCTGGTGGATTTGTTTGCGATGTGTCTGTTGCCGAGAAGCCGTGACGCAGACGTTTTGTGCGGGTCGTTGGACTGGCTCCTCACGAGTTTTTTGCCAAGCTTTCACCCGGGTAGCAGAAACGGACAAGTGATGCAGCTTCAGGTTAAGCCGAGGCTTGCTCTTGACGTGACAGTGCTGCGTTGAAATTAGACGGCACTTGTAGTCATTGTAGTGATGGTGAGCCAGCTGTTGGCACTGCTCTCGCCGACTGGACCTTGCCCTTCTTTGCACCAGTGCAGTGCATGCAGCCGTTTCACGCAGATGCTCGGCCACGGCTGAAGTAAGACATCGGCCACTGGTGGTACAGAAAGGGTTGGAACAGACAGGTCGTGCACCGTTTGTGCATGCTTGCGAGGCCGGAGATGTTTGGGTCGTGGGCACGCGCGGCCGTGTACAATAATCTTGTAGTCGCATCTCAGAGTTGGGCAGTAGCACGCGGCATATCCTGACAGATGTTGTTTGGGCCTTTGTTCGAGCAGTCTGCTTGGCGTCCGATATCGCGCTATGAGTTCGGCAGCATGATGCCAGCGCACTTGACGCCGACAGGCAATGGCACTGACCGCCAGCGATGTCGAGCAGATCAAGAAGGATCACACGTCAGCAGGGATGTGTCTTGGAAGTAGGGAAACCCTTAACCCCTCAGCCACGTCCAGAAAACACACGAAACCCTAAATCCCAGCTCGATTGCGATCTTGAGCACCTGCCGACCAAGTGCTTGGTGTTTGTTTTTTCTGTTAGGGCAGCTGTGATATCTGAGTCTGTCTTGCAACTACGACTTTGGTTGAAAACTTGTGGTGGCCCTACTTGGGACACTTCAGGGGCTTACAAGTGGTTGTAAGCACAGTCACCATGAACCTCCAAATAGAAACCTGTTTTTGATGCCCAATATACCTGTCTTGACATGTGGTGCCCTAGAGACCTTCGAAGCCTTGCCTGCTGTGCGCGAGAGTGAGTGACGAAAGGTCCCTAATGCATGTTGAAAGTTTGGTGGGGTTGAGGAGTTTGCCAAGATTGACCGGCGAGGCCCTGGCCCGCAAGCATCCCCAAGCACGGGGATTTGAGTATGCTTGAGCATGTTTGTGTTGGGCTGTCCTGCTGTTGCTGGTGGGGCCAGGTGAGATGGGTTTTTGGGACTTGCGTTTCTTGGATTTTTTTAGAAGGAACTTGGAGGGGACCCATCTTTTTGGCCTTTGTTTCTTGGTTTTTTTTTTTTGGTTGAGGCTCTATTTTGTCTAGAAACCCCTAAACCCCTACACATCCTAAACCCTAAACCCCTTGCCTGCTTCAGCGAGTGCGAGAGTCGAAACCCTAAACCCTAACTCTGAACCCTACACCCTGCACCCTAAACCCTAAACCCTAAACCCTAAGCCCAAAACCCGAAACCCTAAACTACACCCTAAACCCCAAACCCTAAACCTGCATCGTGGCCCGAGTGTCAGCTAGGCGGGTGGCAAAAAAACCCTGAACCCTAAGCAACGGAGCGCAGTGGACTGCTAGCAGAGAGCGCGCGCCAAATCCTAAGCCCGAAACCGTAAGGCCTGAACCCTATAGCAGGCACGCAGACGATTGGAGTGGATGCGGTCGCACAGGCTGGACTTGCCTGACATGACAGTTCGCAGATTTCGAAAAAGCCTTTTGTAAGGGCCATCTTGTGATCGTCATGTCCTTTCACTGCTCCGCACGTCTGCCTCGGCTGAAGTATCCTTCGATGGCAATCGCGGCAGGGAGAAATTCTGGCAAGCACGGTACAGGTAGAGGTGGAATCCTCGATCGTCAGCCTTCTTTCCGATTCTGGCATTATGAGCGGCATATGTGTGTGTGTGTGTGTTGCAGTGAGTGGATTTTATTGTTAGTCCTCTTAGGCGGAAATCTTGCGAGACCTTTTGCTTAAGTTGCCCCGCTTTGAGGTTTGGGAGGAGGCTTTCTTCTTTGGGTTCTTGTCAATCGGACACTTCGGCAAATTTGCAAGCTGGAAGGTTCTGCAGGAGCTGGATGAGTGGTCGACGACAGAGCTTCAACAACTGTGTCAGCCTTATCATTTCTAGAAGGCACGTAGAAGGCAGAAGAGCAGAAAGAGAGCCTGCAACCTAGCAACGGCGGACTCGAGAGGTTGCAGGCTTAGGAACATGAAATGGCGCTTAAAGACCATCTTCGCTGCAGCCATTTCGACAGCATAGCTTTCACGAAGCTGGAAGTTTAACGTTAGTTTTGTCACAAGCAGTACTGAGCCAACTGCAACAACTTGAGGGTTTGCAGTACGGGCAGGGTGCGTGGAATGAAGATGCCTCCACCAAGATGCACGACATTCTGTGCCACCCACATGTGATCCACAGCTCAATTGATCGATGGAAGCCTGCGCAAATCGCTGCAGCAGCTGCAATTTCAACTTGAACGCGAGCAAGTGGGCTCAGGCGTGGCTGACATTGCAGCGTGATCAGCATGCTTTCATCTCGAGCCCCGAGTTTTCCATTAAGCGTTGGCCGTGGTCATGCCCTCTAGCATCGCATTGCTACTTATATACCGCGCTGCACTATGGTTCTGGTGCTTGAGTATGCAGAGATCTGCTGGGCACCTCGCGGGAGGTTCTGGTGCCCGGCTGCCTTCATGGCTATCACTTGCAACTCGCCTGAAAATTGGGGCTGCCTTCTGGCTGCTGCTCTTGGATCAAGAGCTTAGGAGTTGTGCGCTTCAAGCGAGTGAGCCTCGTCGGCCGGGCGTGGAAGCGCCAAACGGCAATGCAGACGATTCTGGGCCAAGAAGTTGTGCCACTTGTGCCGAGCTTCCCGGTTGCAGTTGGCAAGCTACATCAAGCTACTGTAGCTCTGCAAGATGTCGCGACGCCGCGGTCAGTTCCAGCTTCCAAGTTTCAAAGTCTGCGTGACAACCAGAAGTCGAAGTGCGTTCTGTCATGTGATGTGGCCAGGCTCCTTCTCTCAGAGGTGGATGGTGTGCGCATGCTCTACAAAGAGTGCAGCGAGGAGCTGCATCGCCGTGACCCAACGGATCTGGAGCGCCTTGGGTGCACCTTGTGCGGATAGAGCCATCACTAGCTACACGTGTGGTCGCGGGCCATCGTCCTGGTGCGCCAGTCAAGGACGTGACCCCTTTTCCAACTATTGGAGTTAACAGATGAGGTATGGACGTACTATGAAAAAAACTCTTGCACTTTTTGTGCATACCCCGGAGCCACCTCACTTCGCAAGGATGTTTCTTGAGATCTTGTCTATTCTTATTAGCTGTCCATGTCCATCTGTCTTTTCCACAACTGCCCAGCCCCCTACCTACGAAGATGTTGCCACTCCAAGCACCGCGAATGCAGATCCGTGTAGAATGCCACTAAAGTAAACAGCCCGAGAGCCAGGAAAGTGCATCCCGGCCACGTTGCCGCGACACAGAGCGATGATTGAAGTCTCAAAAAGTGCAGAGGGCCGATGCAGGGTCGCGATTTGGCCCACACAGAACGCACATGGGCGAGAGCCCATTTGCCGTTTCGGGGAGAGCCGTGGAGCTTCCGCACACACTGCGCTATCACCTGAACCTGATCCTATTGGCTCTCTTCCCTACTGTTGGCATCCCATATAGTGTTGCCACACACTTAGGGGGAACAAGAAAAGAAGGCCCGAAACCCGCTAAGGCGGCCCATGCTTGCCGGGTCCAGGGCAAGAGGTTTAACAAAACTCTTGATTTTTGCATGAAAGGCAGGATTTCGTGATTTTGCTTCGGCATCGGGAACGACTTCAGGAGGTGTATCCTGATCGCCAGAGGGTCCCCAGGCATCTGGAAAAGCAAGGGAACGTGGAAATTATGAAACGGGCCTGCGCAGAACCGCACGCCACATATTCTCGCACACGCGAGCTGCATCGGAGCTCTAGCGGTCATTCTGGCTTAGACGTCTAGAAATTGCTTCCCAGGCGGGTGGATGGGCTTGACCCCAAAGGAGGGGGGGTCCCCCCCTTCTTGTGGCCTGATGTATCGGAGGAACGCGTGCGCTCCGATACGTTTGGGCCCCTTTTTGGCCCCACTTTATTCTTTTTTCGGTTGAGGGGCCCTCTGCTCCGGCAATGCGCATCTGTGACTCGCACTAGGCCCAGGCCCGACTTTCAAGATCTTTCAGGCTCTCAATTTTTGTGTTTTCTTCATAAGCACTCAGTTGCAAAGTTAGCCTTCTTGAGTATCAGCCAGGAAGTGACAAAAACCTCAAACCTGCGAAAACACAATGGGTCGGGATTGCCTCCGCGCAGTCTCATCGCGTGTGCCCACCGCGGCCCCTCTCAAGTGGCAGTCCCTCGATTTAGGTTTGCATGGTTCGGCCAGTTAGTCTGTAGAGTTTGGATCAGGTTCGGTCTCTGCTGGGATGAGCTAGGCTGCTCGTGGTTAGGAGGGTAGACGAGCGTAGCTTATGGCAGGTTCAGCGTTTGATCATTCAGGATTCATTTAGGCGAAGCTTGTGGGTCAGAGGAGTTGCTGGCTCACACTTGTCCTTCTTCATTTTTAATATTCCCCTGGCACTTGTTTTCTGACCGATGCGGTCTGCCTTTCTGTCTCCCCTGTTCAGTCCCAACGGTCTCTCTGTTTCTTGGGATTCAGCAAGGCGCTTCGTAGCTGATGCGAGGCTCTTTCGCACCGTTGAGATCAAGCAGGGGCGGGAGACCAGCCCACTGCGTGAGCTTCCCCGCAGCATCCTCTGCCTCCAAGGTGCGACCAGTTAGATCTTGGATGTTTCGTGAGACCGTCGAAATATTTCATAGTTTCACAGCAGCTCTCCACCGAACGCCGTTATGTTGCAGCTGCCTCCCAAGATCGAGCACTTCCGGTTTCCGCTTCAGGCCTGCGCTGCCTAGACATCACTGGGCATCCGCTGGTCCGAGTTCCTCCTGAAATCCGGCTCTTGACATCTTTGAAAAGGCCTGGCCAGTAGCTGTCATCGCTGAGACGAAGCTGCCAAACCCCTCAACTTGGTAGGTCAGTGGTACCCTTTCGCCCGGTTTTAGGTTCTGGTTTCCCTTAGAGTAACCACCCCCCCAACAGGGTGCCCTCATTAAAATACAGTTGCTGGATTACCACATAAGCACCCTGCAAGCATGAAGTGGTGCCGGTTTGACGAGCCGTGTGCCATTGATGCCAGGTTGTGCTTCGTGTCTACGGAGATCACGGAGTTGCCGGAGGAGCTTGGCGAGCTGCAGAATCTGCAGCAGCCCTTCCCTTAAGACATGGCGCTTGGGCTCATGCTCGTTTTGTTTGTTTTGCTCGTTTTGTTTGTTTTGTTCGTTTTGTTCGTTTTGTTTGTTTTGTTTGTTTTGTTCGTTTTGTTTGTTTTGTTTGTTTTGTTTTGTTTGTTTTGTTCGTTTTGTTTGTTTTGTTTTGTTTGTTTTGTTTGTTTTGTTTGTTTTGTTTGTTTTGTTTGTTTTGTTTGTTTGTTTGTTTTTGCCGTCGCTGTGGATCCTTTATCGACGAGGCTGTTGTTTCTCTTGGGGCCTTTCATGTCTGTTCCGTCGGTTCAACAGTCATTGCATGTTTTCTTGGTGCTCGGCCTTCACTTCCCGGCATTTGCCCGCAAGATATTCGACAGTAAAAGCAGCATGCTCAAAACGAGCCGGCTCTCCGACAGGGCAATGCACAAGCACGTCGGCAACAAGAGCAACGCAGTGCAAACACCACTAGGCTGCGTAAGCCAACCTCGATGCCCACGTGTCGACGAAGTCGGCATGGCGTGAGCTGAAGGGGGACAAGCCCATTAACTGCAAGAACTTTGCAAGCTGCAGCTCAGGGTCTTAGGGTCTGGATGTTGTTCCGGTGTTGCCAGTCTTGCCTCGAGACTGTTCGCCTGGCTAGGCCTAATTCCTCGCCAAGCGATGCCAAAGCATCGCATGTGCATAGGTCGTATGCAGAAGTGCAGACACATCAGCAAGCAAGGTTCGTCGTCAGCTGCTGTCCACTTCGCTGCCTGCCCGAGAGTTTGTGCTGCTTGGCAGCAGCCGTGAATCGAACAGTGTTCCAAGTGCTGGCAGATCTGAAGCTTGTGCTTCGAGGGTTGGTTTGTGGATGCAATGTCTGACAGCCTGCCAGTAGCTGTATGAAGCCGGATGAGCTCAAGGTAAGCTGGTTCGTCTCTGGGACTTCTACTTCGATGGAAACCAGCTGCGGGAGCTGCCAGAACAATACCCTCCTTTGGTGAACGGACTGAAGGTGGCCTGCTCAGTGCTTTCGTGTGAGACGTGACAAGCACTCTCCGTCGAAAAGCTTCTGTTTGCCAACACTTGTGTTGCCCTTGTGCTCATGCCTCAGGTGTCGGGAAATTTGCTGCGGCAGATTCCGGAGGCAGTAGGCCAGGCTATGGCCGCCAGTACGACTACGAATAGGTTGTAAAACCGGCAAGACGCTGTGAGAACTGAGCAAAATCTCTGCCAGCCGCAAAGAGACCCTTCCTATCGGCCAGGCGGATTGCAGGACATAAAGTGTATCCGAGCTTATGCCAACAAGCTGGAGGCATTGCCTGACTCCTTGCTGCACTTCGAGCTGATTCAGTTGCTTTGCCAACGCAGCTGTCTCTCCTTTCGGCCATGCAGCCGTGAACGTAACAAGCTCCCAGCTCTCGCCAGCTAACGTGAACCCAGCGGGGCGTCAAAGAAAACTTGACTGAGGACAGCATTTGCCAGCTGACAAACGTGGGGGAGATGTCGCTCCAGGGCAATCGCTTGCAGCACTTGCCACAACAAATTGGCTCGCTGCAGCTCTTTGCTCGCAGCAAGGTCGATTCTGCAGGAACAGGGTGGAGGTTAACTTGACCTGTGTTTGAAACTCGGCTGAGGAATCTGCAATACTTGTCGCTCCATGACAACCTTCTGCGAACGCTGCCGGAGTCAATACTGGAGCTGCTCCTCGGCTTACAGCATGCTTTCGACAAGCATGTGCTGTGAAACTTTGGCTCGTTGAGGTCGGAGTTGCGCTGGCTGTACCTCTACAACAACCACTTGCAAGACTTGCCTCGTGGTCTAACAACGAGGCTAGGGCTCAGGGTTCAGATTCTTTTCTGAAACCTTTCATGTCATTTGCATGCGTGGATTGCCTGATGACTTGTTCGCTGGCAGCTGTTTTTTCAGCCCTTGTAGAACCTTACGAACTTTACCTCCTTGTCCATGTTAAGTCTTCTCCTGGCAGTTGGTGTCTTGGCAGATGCCTCGAAAACAGAGCCGGCAAAAGCCCGCGCGCTCCTGCAAGCTTGGCAGAAGCGGGAGACGGAGGCCACATGGGACACCACATGGAACAGCACCCTCATCAAAGGCTTCCCGGCCTCCGCTTTCGAAGCTCCTCCGCCCTTCACTTTCGAGAACAATTGCAGGAAGGGGCGTTTGGCTGCGGAACAGGCTCAAGTCCCAGTACCCGTCCAGGACGTTGTGCAGCTTCGTGGAAAGATGCAAATAGACATAGACCGTGTTGTGCTCCAGATGACGCTTGCCAACCAGAGTGATGAAAGAGTGGTCACAATCTTGGAGAACCTTTTTGAAATGCGCGGAAAGGAGCTTGCACAGGTACAGCACGACACGCTCCATCTCAGCTTGTTCAATCCTTCAGTCGTACCTTTGCCTGACCGCTGGAGGCGCAGACCCTCTGAGATGTGGCTAGCAGCTTTCCGGCATCAGGAATTTTCGAGCTTGAACTCCCATTGGTGCATTCCGCGATGTGTCGCCAGTGTCATCGTCCTTGCCGTTCTGGACTCAGAGTTTCGAATGATGCGGCCTGCACGAGTGCTTACACACCAGGATGTCCTGGAGGGGAACTATGAGTGTTGGACAGAGGCCCACGAGTGCAACTTCGGCCCGGAGGACCCAAGGCTACTTTGGCATCCCGACACCCAGAAGATGCATCTATTCTTCAACTCGAAGCTTCGGACAAAGTCTCCCCTGCAGTCCTGCCCCAAGAAGACGAACATGATTCGAATGCATGCCGCGGAGCTGGCATCGGACCTCACGGTGTCGCGCAAGTACCAGATAGCTCTGGACTCAGAGGTGCGTGGGCACACCCCCCGAATCGGAAACAGCTCCATGGGAGTAGTTGAGAAGAACTGGTCGCCCTTCCTTCACCGTGCAGATGGCTCAGATGGCTCAACTCAGATTCTGCTCGAGCAGTCTGTGGATCCACATGTGCTCTTGGAGCTTGACGCTGAAACCGGGGTTGCTGCCAAGGTGGTTTGGAACAGCTCTGGGAGCCTGGTCAGCCAGTTTGCTCGGAGAAAGAACCTCTCGCATGCCCACGGGGGAGTCAGCCCAGTTCTGATCAACTCATCTGTGGAGGGTGTGGACTTGGAGCCGCCATTCTACTTGTCCGTGCTCCACTTTACAGCTTTCAAAGACAATGACGAGTTACTGAAAGTTCGCTGGATATACCGCTCGTATTTCTTTGCTTTTGCATCGCAACCTCCCTTTAACATTCTCAGGTTGGGGCACACAGAGCTTCCCGTGACCAGAGTGCCATCGCTATTTTCAACGCTCGTCGCCTTCCCTGTGCAGATGCTACTAGTCGACAGCGCAAAGGCGCCAGAGTTCAGTCCTGCCGGTGATCAACTTGTACTTTTCTATGGAGCTGGAGATTCCTCTTCTCGCTTTCTGCAATTGTCTTTGTCTGACCTCAGCTCGTACCTGTAATGCCAGCTGCGCGAAGAAGTCGGTGAGCTCCGTGTGATGTAGCCGCAGTGCCGATGAGTCCAGCGAGGGCAAGTGCCAGAGGACAGCCCCCATCAGCTGCCAAACACGACGCAAAAGAGTTTGCAAGCTTGGCAAGAGCCATGTCGTCGGCTCATGTTGCAAGCCGCAAAGCCTTGTCATGTCTTGTCTTGGCTTCGCTTTCACAGCTACGTTTCGTGCGGGTTGCAGGCTTCAGCAGCTGGAGCGGCTTCTCGTGGAGACCAATCCGCTCTCGGAGGCGCCTGCTTTTCGTTCCACATTGTGGAACCTGTTGCTGTTGTGCTGCTTTGGGTCTATGCCTGAGGGTTGTGCGCGCCGCTTCTGGCATGACCTGGTCATGGCAGTTCGCTTTTCAGATGTGGTGCGTTCGCTTTGTGACTGTGCCCTCAAGGCCGCTGTTGCAGACCTCATCCAGTCGGGTGGTTCCCTGCGCGTACTCGGTTTGGATACCGAGCAAGCATCGAGGGTGGACCCCGACAGCCTTCCGCCCTGGGTGCCTTGGTGCCAAATACTACTAAAGAGATGACATGAGGCGCGCCTGCCAGTCTGCAATCTACAGAGACCTTGTAACAGCAGCAGTGCAGCGACGTACCAAAACGAGAAAGAGACAACTCAGCAGCGCTGTTCGTCGGCCATGCTTGACTCAGGTTTCTGTCGGATGGATGCTGCCCTGGTACAGGCGAGAGGGTGCTTGCTCTTGCCGTTCCTGGTTTTGATGTGCATCGCTCCCGCCCTACATGGCAAATTGTTAGACTGAGCGTATGAGTTGCATGTGGCACGGCTGGCATGCGTCTCGCAGATTGTTATTGATGGAAATGGGAAGCCAGTAGTTGCGCAATCATGGTTCGGTTTGGACTGCGAGAGCTTGAGGCTATATGCCAAATTGCAGCCAGCTTCGCAGCTCAAGCGGCGTCAAGGCCTTGTAGCTGAGGGTAATTATGCGGGCTGAAGACATTAAAGTCCTCACGTTCGTTTAGGAATGTGTGGATCTCAGGCGTGGAACCTGTCCGTGGGCATCTTCCAGCAACGCCAGAAAATGACGTGCTGGTAGTGGCCTTTGCTGCTAGCCAGGCGGAGCCAGAGTGGCTAGGAGCCCCTTGGCACACAGCGCTCTATCCCGCTGAGCACGAGACCTTGATCGAACTGCTTTCCACGCGACAAGCATGCCTCAAGGTTTTGAGCCAAGTCTACTCTGGCGATGTGTCGGTAGCAGAAGCGGAGCTGCAAATTTCGATGGATGACATGGGCAAGTTCTCCGGCCTTTTTCGTGACTCGGTTGTGCTGGGACCTGGGGCATTCCTCGGCTGTGCAGTTCAGCGTGGAACCGATACCAAGGAGCGCTGCACGAGCGGGAGCTGCAGGACTTTTGCCAGGTGCTGTGCAAGCGCCGGGGGGGACCTGCATGGGGTCGCAGGAGGATGGCAGCGATGAGGACCTGGAGCGCCTGGCCTCTACCTGCTGGCTTTCAGCACCTCCACACAGCAGCAGCAGGTTTGAACTGAGCTTAGCCAGGCCAGTAGCGTGTTTGTTCTTTGGGCGTGCAGGCAGAACGGCGAAGCACTGCAAGACTTCGACGTCCTGACTCTCTGTGATACAGGGGCGCAGTGGTACACCGATGTGAGCGAAAGGGAACAGCTAGAGGTGGAGCGAAGGCTCAGGGAGCCTCTTGTCTCAACATGCAGTCCGGTGGCAGTGCGGAATGACTTCAGTCAGTTGTGACAGTCCGCGCTTTGTATCATCTCCAGCAGAGCAAACTGAAGGATTGTGCCAAGATACAAGAGGGTCATTCTGTTGGGCGTGTTGCTCGGCTGCAAGACGAGCTGTGCATTTGTCCTTGAAGCTCCACTGCCTGGCAGCACTGAAACGCCTTGCAGGTCGATGGGAGGCTTTGCGGCGCTGTCAAACTCCCACCTCGCCCACTCTGTCCTCGTTTTTGGTCCACAGACAGACCCTTGAATCATTGTTAAGGCGGCGATTTCAGGTGGTCGGTGCACCATACATACACAGTTGGGTGACCAGGCATGACTAGGCGACGGGCTGTTGACCACATATCGGTACCAGACCCGAGGACCTCACACTCAGCCACTTACGACCGGGATTTAGCCCAGAAGATCTGGTGAGGCCACTCGGAATCACGCGGAGAAGCGCGGAATTATGTGGAAGTAGAGTTGCGTGTGCTCAAGAGCTGCCTTAAGAGCAAGTTGCCAGGATGAGCGACAACCTTCGAAGTCGAGTGCAGCAAGCGCTGAGCCAGGGCGTGCACTTTCAGTATCACGTTGGTGCGGAAGACCACTTGGCTTATGCCCGCAGGTGGGGCTGTGACAAGGAGCATAGGAAGTGCAGCTGAGTGGCTGCAGTTTGTCAGGGTGCCTCTGCCTCGAAGCTGCTTTGTGGTCCATCCGGTCGAAGGCAGGTCGGGCGAACTAGTGGGCCCAGCTCGGCCAGGCTTTTAGTTTGCCCTGCAGGCCGGATTGCACGTCTTTTGGAACGCGCTGGAATCCTTTGGCCGCTGTTGATTAGGAGACCACCCTTGACATGGGAGTCACGCAATTGCGAGCAGTTTGGTGCTCAAGGTTCCTCATCCCTGCCCATGAGGAGCATTGCTCGAGAGCAGCGTCTTGCAAGAGGAGCAAGTGGACGATGTGGATCTGGCTGGAACGGGTAGAAGGGAGTGGCACAAGCTTCAACATGCACAGGGGAATTCCTTCCCTCCGAGCTTGATGACCTGCAGTCAACGCAGGAGAACCTGATCGATTTCCAAGCTCACACGAGGCTCGGCATCTGCACTGCGACTTTCAAGAACGGACTGTTGGGAGGTCTAGCCGTCCAGCTGAGCAGGTGGTTCCTTCTGCTTCTCGTGCCTGGCTCCTGGACGAAAAAGAGGCCAATCACTCTGTAATCTGACATGACTGGGCAAGTTCGGCAAGCGGTGGTGCTGTCGGCTTGCATATGTCTTTTTCGCAAGGAGACAATACCTTTGGGACTGTGGGGTTACGGCGGAAAGCTTTGCTTTTGCTCCTTGACCCGGATGAGTGTCCATGCTGCTGAATCTTGGCTCGCCTTTGCTTTCGGACTGCATTTAAGGCCGCATTTCTCCGCTGCACCTTTGCCAGATCTGTCGGTTTCCTCCGCGCTCGAACGACTGGTTCTGCAGCACCTGTGCCTTGCCTACAGGGTGGTGTGATGTGAGGGCAGAGACATGCAGAGACGAGAAGCTTCCCTTACATCCTTAACGGTCAGGGCAACAGTCCAGCGGTCCGAGAGCTCTCAGGCTTAACGCACAACGTGGCAAAGGCAAGCGGAATGCGATTGATGTGCTCTGTGGATCTTGCTCATGTTGCGGCACCACCCTTGCCTGCCCCTGTTACTGTTGAGAAATTGAATAATTGAACGTAATTGATATTAACTGCTTGTTACAGCTTGGCATGACTTGGCAGTATAGTTCGGGACAGGATGCTTGGTGGAGTCTTCTATCTCTGTGCTGACTGTGAATCAGATATCCAGGCCTCCGCGTGCCGCAAGTGCTCGGACAGGAGTAGGGCAGGAGTCGTCGCAAAGGCCGGCTACAGTGGAGCTTTGATCACGCTGTGCCCAGTCTTTGTCAGCATGTCACAAGTTGAAACAAGCTGTCAGACAAATGCATGTCGAGGCTTGGCGCAAAGAAGATGTCCGTGCTGCCGCTGCACGGATTGAGCACTCTCAGCGTTCCATGGTGCAAACATTTGAAGACATGTCTGCTCAGCGCCAGCCACATTCCTGGTTGGCTAAGGTTGTGTCTCAAATAGGCTTCAATGTGCACTGTGAAGGTTCCGGAGTCGCTTTGCCTCGCTTGAGTGGAACACATCTGGCTTGGTCCTTGCCACTCCGAAGTACGCTCACCAGGCCGGACGTCCAGAAAGTCTAGTGGCCTGGCGCGCTTCTCGTTGTGCAGCAGTCCGCGCAGCTCGATTTGGCATACTTGTAAGAACAGGCTGGCAGCCCTGCTGAAGGGTAACTTGGGATCCCTCCTTGTGATCCTCATCGCGTGGCTTCTTGCTCAGAATCTCGGCTCTGATAAAATTTTGAAGGTTCCGCAGAATTTCGTGTATGCTTTGCAGCCAAGGCTCTTGAAGCGAAGGCGAGCGCTGATGTGAGCTTGGCACTCCTTTGTGACAAGATGCCAGAATAATCTAGTCGCTTCCGGTGGGAGGGCGTGGGCGCGTCCCAAGTTCGTGGTTGTGCATCGCGGGGCATGTAATCACGGCTGCAGCTTGACCTTTGCGCTGATTCTGCGTTGGGACACGCCATGGGTGCGTGGCAAACGTGCCGCACCCGTACCTCTTGGAATCTTGCAATTGGTTATCAAGCGTTATGAGAAAATGTTGCGGTCTGGCAAGTGCAGCATAGTGCAGACGGCCAAGTCGAGAAGTGAGAGAAGAACGTAGCTTAGTATCCCATGTATTTCCTCGAGTGCCAAGGTTCGCAGCAGCAGGAGGCAACTCCCAGAACTCCTTGCCCATTGTGGATTTCCTGGCTCGCACCTCTGGGCCCTTAGCAAAAGCCTGTTCCTGTTTCTGGCATGGCTGCTGCAAGGACTGGGTTATGCAGCCAGATGAGGCGCCACAGACGTTATGACGTTCTCAGTGAGGCTCTTGAGTTTTCTCACTCCTTTGCCTGGCGAAGGAAGATGACCCACCCATGCCTGGGGCCATTGACGAGGTCCGCCGATTGTTGCTGCGAGGTGGTGTTGCCCATGAAGCTGCTGAGAGTTCTTGCTCAGGACTATTCTGACGAGGAGGCCCTGCCGTGCCGTGCCGGGGAGTGGTATCTCAGATGAATCTGCATGCCCTGGACAGCTTCGAAGGAGGGAGACATGCGCATGGAGAATTTTGGCTCAAGCCTCCCGACGTACGGCTGCAGACCCTAGCCAACTGGTGCTTCGACCTCGGCCATGGCCTCCCTGCGCTCAACCGTGGTGGTGCTGATGCAGCTCCTGCTAGCCAGGGCCGACAACTACGATAACGCCATTGTTGGCAGCTTCGCCCCATACCCGGGTTACGCTGGAGCCTTAGCAACGGAAGGCGTCATGGCAGTCATCTCTTCCGGGGACACGCAGACCCTGTCCTGGAAGCTTTCCGGCCTGGACACCCGATGCAACGAGACCTGCACCGCAGCCAACTGCTGCGGTGTCCACATTCACGTGGGCAAGACGTGCTCGGATGCCAGCAGCATCGGAGGCCACTACTGGACTACGAACGGCACAGACCCCTGGCTGACGGTCATGTACAACACCACGAGCATGCCAGCGCTGGAGACCAACTTGGCTGTTGTGACCGGCGCATCGGGCGAGGATGTCTCAGGCCGTGCCATGGTGATCCACGACTATGACGGCGCCCGGATCGCCTGCGGGCTCATCGACGAAGCCTCCACAGACAGCTTCGCAGCCTATCCCGGCTACACTGGCAACCTCGCCACTGCCGGCGTCATGAAGGTGAGCTCCAAGGACGTCACGCAGAGCTTGTCCTGGATTTTCACAGCCGGCCTCGACACGCGATGCAGCGACGCCTGCACAGCAGCAAACTGCTGCGGAGTCCACATCCACGTAGGCATGAACTGCTCAGACAAGGACACCATCGGCGGCCACTATTGGAACTCCACCTTTGTGACCGCCGACCCCTGGGCCATGATCATGTACAACACAAGCCACATGCCCTCGGTGATGATGGACGTCATGGTGCCCACAGGCTATGAGGAGGATGACGTGGAAGACCACACCATGATCATTCACGACTTCGACGGTGGCCGCATCGCTTGTGCCACTCTTTCGGAGATCCATGATGGGATGTGGACAGAGAGCACGACCACCACCACCACCACAACCGCTAACCCGGCCTCTTTAAGCGGTGCTTCCAAGACCAGTCTTGCTTTGGGTGCAGTCACTGCAGTCCTGACAGTACAGAGCCTGGCCTAGTCGGGCCTAGTCGATTTGGGAGGAAACGGAGCAGGCATGCCGCAAGCTGTGCCGACGAGCGCAGCCGCGCATCTTCTCGGACGGTGCCCATCCACGTAAGCGTGGGCTGAACAGGGATTCTGGTTTGGGCCGTTTGGGCCCTTTGAGCTCTGTCCAAAGACACCCTGAAGTTCGAACTTATTTGATGTAGGTTTATGTCAGTCTTGTTTGAAAACTTCTTTTGGTTCCAGGGTCGAATTCAGATGCTGCCGTCACTTAAAAATGCAATTAAGTCGAGCAATGACCCAGATATGTGGGTCTCTGCGTCGTTCCTCTGCAGCCTGTTAGCTCAATGATAACTGGAGCCTATGGAGTTTAGGGTATTGGGAGGGATTGGGGTTTATGGCTACGGCTTCAGGAGGAACCCGGATTCTCACCTCCAGCCGGTTCCGGAGCTAGCAGAGCCTTGCTACCGCAGCCGCACCATATGTCAAGCCTGCCGCAGAAAAACGAACATCGCAGGCCCCTTCGAAGACAGCGTGTGAAGCGAACAAAGGCAGCAAGCGACAGAGCAACCGCGACAACCACGACCCTGCTTCGACATGGCCACTTACGGAAAGGGATGAAGGGGAAGGGGGAAGGGGGCAGTGGGGCAAATAGCAAGCAAACAGCGAGCCGGCCGCAGAAACACAACAATGAGCACGAGCAAAAGATGGCCTTAAAAGGGCAAAGAGGTTGGTCCGTGAGCCACTGCAGAAGCTGCCAGGACGATGAAGTGTCACACCCGACGGTCCGCTTCAAGGCTGGGTTGCTGGATCTGCCTCTCCATTGCAGTAGGCTCAGTAGGAGCCAGGCGAGCACCACCAGGTTTGTCATGCACCCTGTGGCTGCTCCTGCTTTTGTCTGCAAGAAGCCATGGCATTTGCTTCCTAGTCAGTTGGAACTTAGGCCTCAGTCACTTAACCAGCGTCTAGCTGGCGTTTGGATCAGACATTCTAGTTCTGTTTGAAGAAGACATCATCAGAGCTTAGTTCGATCGCAATGTGACCTTGGCATGGGGTCGCCAGCTGTTGTGACGGACCCGGCTCGACCAGAGCTGGGCCAGTTTCTCCGCGCCACCCGCTCATATGTGCCGGGTGAGCCTTGGCCGAACCTGTGCTTCGATGGGCATTGGCCCACCTTGATGTCACGAGCGACTTCCTTCGAAGTTGAGAGTTGAGGGTTCGAAGACTTTTGCTCGACAGACAGCTTTCTATCAAACTTTTCAAACCCGAAACCTCGCGTATCGAGTGCCTCTTTTCGAATTGAGTCGGGAAAGAAAGTCAAAGTTAGAAAGCTTGGAGTTCGACAGAACATCGTGGTTGCGAGTTCGAGAGTTTGAAGTCTGAAGAAGCGTCTCGGAAAACTCCGAAGTTTCATCGGCACTCGACTTTGAGAGTTCCAAAGCGTGAACATTTGAGGGGCAAGGTCGACGTCGCGCGTTCGAAATATTGAAATGTCAGGAGTTGGAGAGTTCGAAGTTGGAAGCCCGTTCGAGTTTGCGAAGTAGAAAATTCTGCAGATTTCAAAGTTCCAGAGAATGTCACTCTGATGCCCGTTCGAGTTCGAGAGTTTGAAGCAGGACGAGTCTGAAAATTTGATCTCTCCGAGTGTTAGTTTCCCGAGTTTGAACTTTCGGAGTTCCAGATTTGGAGAGGTACACGCGCGGAAGCGTCTCTTTCGCAACTTTGCATCTCTCCTTCGCTCTAACGTGCCTTCGTGAAGCAATGAACATCGTTCCCCCTGCGTCTGAGAGCTTCCTGAGTGTGAATGTTTTGGAAATTTGAAGCCGTTGCGTGAAGCACCCAGTCAGGCCTGCCAAGGTCCGAAGGTTTTTTGTTTACATGGAGCCAAGCGGAGCTTAAACCCAAAGCCCTCCCTGAACCCGTATCCAGCCCTTTGAACATGGGGGCTCCGACTCTGGGGTCTGTACGGTTTAGGGTTTGTGCGGCTTGATGGCTAGTTAGGGGCTTTTGGGGCCTCGCGTTCGGGGTCTAGCTGACTGGCTTTTTTCGGGGTTTGGGCTATGGGGTCTTGTTGCGAGGTCTCCTGCAAGGCGATTCTTCCCTTTGCCGGTTCCCATTTTGTTGCGCCGCGACGCTCGAGATCGTCTCTTTCAGACCGCTGTCGCTGTGAATCTCCGACACGTTCAAAGCATCAAACTCTTCGAGCTCGGCTGTCGTTAATCGTCAAAGTTCCAAGCTTCAAACTTTCAAACTCCTCACTCCTCATCTCTCAAGTGCCCGTGCACTGTTTAAAGGTAAAATATGGGTAGTTCTCTGAATTAAGGTCACTTTGTGGCTCCACTTTCTAGCCGGCACTCTTAAAATCAGGACCCCAAAGGAAACTCAAGTCAGAGAACCACCCAATTGCACACGGCTCAACCGAGGACCTGGTCCTGTGCGAGCCGCCGTTGCTCCGCGTTCCGCGCCTGCGGCGCCTCAGCGCAGAGGCCCTGGGCACCGTGGCGGCCCTGCGACAGGCACATGCTTCTTTGTGAGCCTGCCGTGAGCCTCCGCTGTTTCCACATTGTCATAGGCTTCCGAAGAGTCTCCATGCAGAGGCAAATCTTTTCCTTCCGTCGGAGAGCACCAGTCCGGCACTGCAGCGGCTACGGGCAACGGCCAAGGAGGCACTTCGAAAACAAAGGGCTGTCTAAGCAAGCTTCAGCAAGTGCAGCTAACAGCTTTCAGCAAGTGCTTCGCCGCAAGTTGGGGACCAAGAAATTCTTGCCGGCATCCTTGGAGTAGTTGCGCTGGTAGCTCGACAGCTGAGGCAGATCCCGAGGCTGCGCTCTTCGTGCGATCGGTGCTTCATTTCAACTCCTTCGGTGCTGGGCCTGCAGGTCAGGACCAGGCACTCCGGACTCCACACACAGTAGGGTCTTGCGCTTGATTGTATGCTCGCGTTTCGTCAGCAGTTGTCAGCAAGTTGCCAATGGGGCTGCCTCCAACCAGGTAGTTTTTCCGACTCTGGCCAGAGCGAACCACTCCTGTCTGCCAAACTGAACCCTGGCAGCACCCAAGACAGCGCTGGGACAAGCACCGCAGTCAGCTTGAAATCTGGATTCCGGCAGGCTTGGTGGATGCAGACCTTGGCACCTTGCGTGCCGTCCGTGCGGTGTCTCCTGGGGAGGCCTGACATCACGTGGGGCATTGCGCTTCAGAAAACGCGGAGCGCCAAGCAGACATGTGATCATACACATGGCACAGGAGCTGACAGTGTCCTACTTAGATGATGCCGGACTCTTGATGGATACAGCCTTTCGCCAGGCAGCTCCTTGCCGGCACTGCGTTACGTTTCAAAACACAGATTTGTGGACCTAGAAAGCCGCTCTCTCTATCTTTCTCTCTCTCTCTCTCTCTCTCTCTCTCTCTTTGGGTCTCCCGGTAAGGAGCTCAACGAGCGATACGAGTTCAGGCGATGCACACATCAGACGGTCAGGTCTTTCGTGTAAGCTGGTTGTAGGATGTTGAAGGTGGCCGTGCCGGTGAAATGTGGCAGGTGCCAGTGCGCTCGCTGCTCCTCTTCGCAAGACGACACACGAAGATTTTCGGGTTGTATAGAGGGAGGTGCCACTGCCTCCTGTGCTCGCATGCGCTGGTCATCACTTGCGAGTCTTGGCATGCCTTGGAGGCGACCTCCTTTTCGGTGGTGAGATGTGGCGAGCGGCATCGCCTTCGCTGCAGCAACAACTACTGGAAGCAGAGGCGCTGCTTAGCAGCAGGAAGCGGGGAGCGTAGCGCATGCGGCATCCCGCAATGAGCAACGGCAATCATCAAGCATCCCAGTTCCGGTCGCGTGCGTAGCAGTAGTGCGAAACCCCTTGAGATGCAGTTGGGGTCCAGACTTGGCGACTCTGCCCAGGAAGGCCAAGGCATCCCTTCAAGCAGCGAGATCCGGTGACTTAGAAGAGGAGGACGAAGGCCACGAGTTAATGAAGTGTCACAGGCGAGGGCCTCGGACCTCAAATTTTAGGGGCAAACAGAGAGCACTCTCCGATTTTTTGTTTTCAGGTTTGCGTCCGCTCACCCTCATCACAGCTTGGCCTTCGCCCTCGCAAACGAGTTTGCTTTTCCTGATCCCGAGGCGTGCGAACCTGCATGCGCCACAAGCATGGTAGACCCTTCTCTGCGAAGACCTGAGTCAAAGAGGATGCGAAGAAGATCGTCTTGACCATGATCGACCTTGTCCTCTCAATGCCATGCCAGTTTCGAGGTTGCAGGATGTATCGGATTTGCTTAGGGGCACTACATTCGCCACCTTTTGGATACATTCACCAGTGAGCATGCCCGGACATGCGTAGAAAGTGCATCCGTGGGCGGTGGTTGAAGGAGAGAACGACAGGTAGCAGAGATTTACCTGACTTGAGACGTTTGCCTTCCAAAAGCTGTTTGTTCAAGAGTGACTCCGTGGAGCCGATGGCAGCTGCAGCGATGGCACGGTCCCTGCTCCTGGCCCTTAGCTGTGCGAGCTGTGCTGCTGCTGATGCCCAGCTCCGGGGCACCAACCAGACTTTGGGCTCCTTGGCTGGAGCCAGTCGGACCATCAGCAAGCATGTCTTGTACGACAAGCTGATGGGATACTGGGTGGGCCAGCTCGTGGGCAACTTCATGGGCTTGCCCCTTGGAGCATGTGAGACAGCGATGCTTTTGTTGATGCATTCATGGACGCATGAAACAATGAAGTTGGAGCTGAAGATCCAAGATCCCAAGATCCCAAGGCCCTTCGAGTTCCTCTACACCGACTCGCCCATGCCCATTGAGCCTCAGACCTACTACGATCAACACGCTGCGCACTCCTCCGGCCTCAGGTGCAACTCCGACGGTCGAGGGAGCATCCCGCAGAGATTGAACCAGCTCCAGGGAGCGTATACAGACGCGGCTTGGCTTACCTTGCACACTCGAGTTGCGGAAGCTCTTGTAGCAGGTGGCGCGCACTCAGCTACGCAAACATGCAACCTGAAGAAGTCGCAACATCATCAGGAATGGGCTGCCACTCACTGAGGCTTTGATACCCCGCCAGATCCCTTTAGGCCTTGCGAATGCCTGCGCCGACGGCCCCAGACCCCGGCCCCAGACCCCAGGGCCCTAAACGTTGGAGAGTGGAGACCGAAGAAAGAGCCGAAAGAGCCTTTTGAAGGATTGGGAGTGATCATGTGTCACAGCTTCCATCGAAGTGGGGTGGCAGCCTAGGACAGCTAGAGGCAACAGTTGCATGGTACCCCAAACGGAGGGTGTCGGAGACAAAGTTTGTATTCGTCATGCTTCTGCCTCATGGCCGTAAGGACGACACCGACATCGAGTTTGTCACTTTGCATGCTTTGATGGAGCATGGTCTTGGGCTCAACTACAAACAAATAGCTGGATATTGGCGGAACTACGTCCACATCCAGGTCAATGGTGGGGACGCGCTGTGGTTCGCAAATAAGGTGGCAAGAGAAAACATGAACAGGGGTGAGATTCCACCGCAGACGGGCTCACAGGGCCACAACCGCTTCTGGTGGACGATCGATCCGCAGCTCGTCAACGAGATCTGGAGCGCAGTGTATCCAGGCATGGTTGACAAGGCCGGGGTGTTCCCAAAATATGCTTCATTGCATGCAGCACGCCTCGAGGGCTCAGAGATTCCTGAAAGGCTGCATGGGTCTGCTTCTGGACAATGAACCGCAACTCTTCAACCTTGAGGAATGTATGATGTAGGTATGCCCCAGTGTCAAGACAAATCGGGAGGGGGAGGGGCTGCACCATGTGGGAGGTCGGCAGCAAAGGGTGGGGTGTCTGTGTGTGTTTGTGCCCGTGTGAAGCGACGGCTCTGGCAATCGACGGCAGTCGACGCAGATACTCGTGATCCTTCTCATGTCATTTCAGCTGTGATCGAAACAATCGAAGCGGTGTTGCAAGTGCTGAGGCGGTGGAGCGAGCAGAGTGGGGGGCCAAGATCACAAGCGACTCTTGGGGCACCCACCCCACCCGCTTCTACGCCGCCCTGTACAGCGCCGCCTTCTTCAGCAACAACGTCCACAGGATGTATGACATTGGTATGTCGAAGGTCCCTGGAGATAGCCCGTATCATCGAGCCCTCCAGGATGTTCGCCAATGGCATTCTGAAAGTCCGCACGACTGGCGGCAGACCTGGTACAAAATACGGAATGCATACACGTACTACCCTTCGGACTGTGGTGGAGTTCCGTGGAATTGTGGCGTCTCGGCCATGGTGAATGGAGCCATGGGCGCCATGGCGTTCCTATACGGAGGTGGCGACTTCAAGCGAACCGTCGGCATTGGAATTGCCGCCGGCTTTGACTGCGACAACCAAGCAGCCACGCTCGCAGGCCTCATCGGAGTGATGCACGGAGCCAGGGACATCCCATATGACCTGACCCACCAGGCAGCCGGGTAAACTTGAGAGAAATTGACAAAGACGCGAAATTTCGCAGATAGCTTAGCGCCGCTGTTTAAGTTTTGGAGGAGAGGGCAAGCTCAGCAAGGAAGTGATAGCATGATAATTTCAACGTCAGCAGAATCATAGCAGGCTCTTACAGCATGTGGCCAACCTGGGGTCTAAGGTAGCCGGCAACAATTGGCATCAAGCTTTCAACAATCGCTATGTCAACGAACGCCGACCGCCACTACCGCGGGACCAGACGAACTCGGACATTGTCGACAAGCTTATGATGCTTACCTCCCGTGCCATTGTTGAACAGGGTGGGCAGGACCTTGGAGATAGATTTCTGGTGCAGCTGTCTCCGTCTCTTGCGTGATGGGCAGTGAGCGCCACCTCCAGAATTTCAACGACAGGTGCAACAATGACATGCAAACAATGACATGCCAGTTGTCACAGCAGCGGGCTTGTGCTCGTATTGTTGTGTTTCTGTCTGCTTGTGCTAAAATGCACGGCTCGACTCCATTGACTCGGGAAGGCCTCCAGCACGTATTCCAGAGTCTTGGGGCGGCGCATTTCGACGACGCCTCCCCTGTCCTGGAGTCAAACCGGAACTGAATTTTAAGTTTGCGCAGCTAAAGTTAAAGCTGTCGGGCGTGTGGGAGCCCTTGGAGCAATAGCCTCCATGAGGACACCTGCCTGTATCTGATCTTCTTGCCGGCAAGTGGGCAAGGACAACAAAGCTTGCTTCATAAAGGCCCATGAAAGGTACCCCAACCGTTAACCATCAACCGCCTTGAGCCCTGCCCCAAGCCCCAGACCTTCTGAGGCTGGCCGTCGAGGCCGGTCGAGACTTGGCCCTTCAACTCGAGACGCGGCGTCCCGCCGAAGCAAAGTTGCGATGGGCGCAGGCTGGGCCGAGGCATCATTGGTGGCTTTACTTTAGTGAAGACATATAGCACGCAGATCGGCATCGCAGCACATCCAAGCGCGTGCACGAGCCGCAAGTTCCAAAAGCAACCCAACGGCGTATGCCATGTGCACAATCCTCGCGACAGTTGCCCTATCTGGACGATCAACAGAAGGGAAACCGCGGCAACTGCGGAACACGCCACGGCACTGGCGAACGCTTTCAACAACTTCGGGCTTCCTCACTGGGTTTTGTGATTGAAGCTGGCTGACAGAGAAGGACTTGAAGACACATCGGGTGATTCCAATGTCGAAGCTATTCAAATCCACCGACCAGGCCGCAGCAGTGGCCAAGGTTTTGGATGGCCACTTGGCCTGGTCTTTCAGCAGCTGTTGCCTGTACACATGCGGGCACCTACTTTTGAACGACGGAGTCCCTCAGGTCGAGCCAGTACTGAGGAAGCCATGTGCCAAGACCAGAGATTGTGGTTGGAGCCTGCATTCATTTGATGTGGTAGCCAGGCGGCGTTTGAATGGTGAGGCGTCCTAGCAAGTCAGTCATATTGATCATGAGGTCCTGCAGGAGTGGGGGCGGTCCTCTCCTCCCGCGGCTCCGGCTTCTTCCTTACAAAAGGTTTGTCCAGACTGTTGTATCCATTAGTGTGAAGATTTGATGGCCTGGAATAGTTTGACGTCTTAGTTACCTTAGTTGCGGAAAACTGCAATATGTCTGGCCCAAACATGTCCAATGCAGAGCTTCCACAGCGATGCTCTGAGCATAGTTGGAGGCTGAGAAGATTGATGCAAGTCAAGTGGTGCCGTGATGGCGCAGGGGACATCTTGCGTGCGTGGTTTATGTTTGAAGAGGCCGAGTGCTGCAGCACTCATGGCTGGGCTGTCAGCCCGAGACTACGGGGGAGGGCTTGCAACAAAGGGCCGCCCTGGCACTGTTCGGAAGATACGCGTTTGCGCGGCATGCAGCTGATTCGCATGATGATAGTCGTACGTGGTGCAGGGTGGGAAGGGCGTGCGACCCAAGATGTGTCGCTGACCAAAGACGATGGCTTCGATGAGGACTTCAGACATTTCAGATGTCTGAGGGCTCTGAGGGCTCGGGGGCCGTGGCATTTACATGCATTTACTGTTTCAAGGAAGTGGCGCAAGCGGCGGGCATCACTGATGAAGTGCTTCTGCTGCGGTCAAACGAGACGTGAATCCTCACATGCCGAGAGAAGCAAGTGCGAAAATTTCCCAGAGCACGTAGGGATTCACAGCATTTGGTTGAGGTGGGAATTTCGACCAGTCAGTTGTCCGTCATGATGCCAAGGACCCAAATCAGGACCTGCTTAAGCAGCGTGCGAAGGACTCCTGCGAGTTGCACATAAGTGTGAAGCTGGAGTTGCCAGTGCCTGTTGCCTGCTGTGTGGTCCACCATCGCTTGCAGCTGTCCAGGAAGGCCGAGCCCGAGCCAACGAGCTGGCCGAGTTTGCAAAGCTGCAGGAAAGCCAGAAGAAGGAGGCGGCAAGCAAGGCCCGAGATAGGCGACCGTTGTTCTGTTCCATGGCGCCCGGGCTTGCTTCGGTGGTTCTTGTCAGGCAGGGCTGGCATCACTGGTGGCGGAGCGTGCCGCAGCCAAAAACACAAAACGTGCATCTCGGCTCGGACAGAGGTAGTCGAGGCAAGTCTGTCAACAGGGCATGTTTCGGCCAATCTTTTGCTCGCGACGCGCTGCCACGATGCATTCCTTGGTGACTGGAAAGTGGCAGCGGGGCCGAGCGACAATCATCCTCATGTGCTGAATGCACAGGCATAGGTGATACGATGATTGCCATGACTTGCACAAGCCTGCTTCAGGAACTTCCGAGCTTCTTGAAAGTTGGCGGACGCTTTGCTTAAATTCTTCAGCAACTCCTTTGAAACTCCTTTGGCGCTGTCTTGTGGAAGCTCGAACTTCGCAGAGCCTAACTTGACAAACGTTATGTCTGTTGCTGTCAAGGGGCAAAAAGCCAGACGCCACTCAGCCAGCAACAAGACTTGCTGCCCCCCACCCCCCCCCCCCACAGAGTTCGCAATAGAAGACACTGAAGATTCACCTTAGCACTAGAGTGCTGCTTTGACATTTGCGATGAGAGGGTATGCGAGAATGGCGGAGTGGGTTGGCAACATTCCCCCTTTAGGATCAACCAGAGCCCTGGAAATTTTTCCAATTCAAAACAGAGAAGGCAAGTCCCAAGGACTAATTCAATATGGGTGGCAATGCAGAAGCCAGGCCGGAGCCGGAGGCCAAGCGGCCCAAGAACGAAGAGGCGCCCCAGGCGCCCAAAGCCTCTGAGGCCGGGAGAGCTTGTTGGGACAGGGTTAAGGGCCCCTAAGGCCCTAAGGCCTCAGGGTTCAGAGGTTGTGAGTCTGAAGGCCACAGCCAATGAAGGGCCCGCAGCTGGCGGGATTGGAGGCCTGCGCTTGGTTTCTGCAGTCTGCATCTTTTTACTTCTGGTCTTTTCTCTCGTGCATTGCCTGGAGGCCTCGGGGGATATGAGTCGGACGACTCCGAGGAGGATGACTAGTCTGACTTCTTGCGGCCAGCTGCCATGCGTTGAACGCTAGATGTTCAAACTTGCGGCTGCCGCTGAGCAGCTGAGCACCCCTTCCACTATATTGAGTTGATATCCAGTGTATGAATTGAGGAGTGCTAGTGCACGGTGTTCGACAGTGAAGTGGTGTGCGAAAAGCTGCCGAAGATAACGAGCTCGCAGGGCAGAAATGCTCGGCATGGTATGAGTAGGGCTCAATGTGGGCGAAGAAACGCCGCAAGCAAGCGAACCACGGTTTACTTTGCTTGCATGGAGCAGTGTCACGACTTGTGTCGAGTGCAAGAATGAACGGCGCCTGGTGGTGCTTAGGCCCCGAAAGCTGGGCCGAGTTCGGACATGGAATCCTTCGGTCAGACAGAGGACGCACTCAGAGAGTTTTCATGGAGACCCCTCAGCTTGCGACCGAAGACCTGAACTTGTAGAACTGTATGTAGGCATGTGATGGCAGAATTGAAGCGCCCACTTTGTTCATGGCATGAGAAGCCAAAGCCGCCTCCAGGATGGGAACTGGCTGCAGCGCCAACGCCGCTCGTCGCTGCTCATCATCTAATCCTCAGCTTAACTCGTGCACTGTTTTTTTATTTTTCCAATTTTCGAGCGTATTTAGGAGGCTGTGGCTGCTTTCATGGCTAACAGGGGGTCCGCCTGTTGTGGCCAGCCCAAAGTAGGGCATGGCGCAGGCAAAGCAGCTGCTACGACACACCGTCGAACGAAAGAGGCCAAAGAGGCCAAAGAGGACCTAAAAGAGGACCTCAAAAAGGCCCAGGAGGCCAAGGAGGCGCAAGAGACCCAGGAGGCCCGAGTTCGCACGTGAGTTTCGTGACGCTGCAAATGTGGTTCTGTTTGTGTGCCGGGCTCCCTTGGAGCCTTTGAAAACTCAGGAGCCCAAACCGCCAGATTCACCATGTTGCGCTGTTAGCTGCGCTCTCAGCGTGTGAGTTCCTGGTCTGCCTTCCCAATCCAGCTCCGCTACTAGGGTCAATGTTACCAGGGGGTTACCAAAGCCATGTCAAAGGCCAGTGGAGTTGGAGCTGGAGCTCGCTAGGCCGAGATCTTATCTCTGGGTTTCTTACCGGAATCAGAATGTGTGTTGGCGAGGCTTCTTCCTGCTGGCACTTCCAGCCATGGCACTTGTGCTTGGCAGTACCCGAAGGCTGAGGAGATAAATAATGCAGAGCCGGTGACTGCCACACTTCATTTTCTGTAATGCTAGTATATGCTACTGCGATATCACTATAGTATTAATAAAGTATTACTCGAATATTGCTATAATGTTTCCATACTTTTACTTTAATATTTCTTTACCATTACCGCAATACTCTGTGTGTCAAAGTGTGGCATCTGCCATGTTGGTGTCCTGCTCTTGAGTCGCCCCTCGTTGATCTGCCCGAGCGCCACATGCAGACACGAGGACGCTGCGCGCGGCCATTCAGCAGCCCTTCGACGTTTCACCGTGAGCACGTGGGTGAAACTTGCTAATAGTGCTCTGGTGTAGTCCGCATAGGGTCTTCGAGCACGAAGCACTTTCCAACCTACCTTTTTTCTGGAGCTTGACCCGACTCAGCCGAGCCATGCCGCGCATCTTCAACCCAGGGCGTGGAAGCCACGACTTCATCAGGCTGGCACAATGCACACGCATCCCTGAGACCAGGGTTTGCAAAGAACAGGGGCGATTGAAATGGCCATGCCTTGTCAGGTTAGTGGAACGCACGACAAATGCCCTGGTAACGAAAGACGATGGTGCCTTGGAGGAGGTCAAGAAGGCCTTGATCCAGGCATCCCGGCAGAGGGAAACTAAGGGAAACTTCGCGTGCAAAAGGGTGCAAGTTGGTTCCTGCTCAATGAAGCTCCCCGCAAGAGGTACACCAGCAGTATGACCAAGTGCACGAAGAGTCAGAGGCGAAGCAGCTGCGGCTCAATCGACTGCGTGAGGACATCCGAACAGCGGACCAGCAGCACATGAACAAGGGCGACTGGGCAGACACATCGCGTTCGTGGGTTACTGTGCGGACTTGCGACTTGCAAGGTCCTACTAGAGACGTGCAGCCGAGGTGACTGGACAAAGAAGGTGGATGAGACCTGGAACGTCTTGTCCGAACAGTACATTGATGTCATGAAGCGAAACAAGGACTCCTTGCCGCGCCTGCTTTGCTACTATTTGCTCAAGAGCCCCCCAAAAAGAAAAATCCCTGTATCGCCCTTATAATATGAGGAAGAACATTTTGTGCTTTTGGGGGTTCGTAAGCAAATAGTAGTTTGGCGAGCTCTGACGCCGGTGGCTGTTCTCACTTGGCACCTGGGAAGGAAGCCTTGACCAGCCGCAAAGTCTACGAGCACATGCTGAAGCGGACCCAGCGAGAACAAGCAATCTTGAAGCAGAAGCTGTTTCAAATGGAGGAGATCCAGTGGCGCCAACTTGGCACGACTTACACTTGGCACGACTTACGCCAGTAGCTTGAAGCACTTTTTGAGAGCTTCGGGCTTCGCCAGGGTATATTACCTTTAATATTACAGTTAATATTACTCTAAAATTGCTTAGATTTTGCTTTAATATTCCTTTTATATTACTTTAATGTTTCGTGGATCTTGCTGGATCAGTACATTCATATTGCTCTAGCCCCAATGGCTGCGAGGAGCACCTGGATAGGAAGAAGCGTGAGCTTCAGCAGAAGCGGACAGACAGCGAGCAAGCCAGGCATTCCGTTGTTTTTGCACACGTGACAAGATGTGGACATGAGCGGCGGTTTTGGGTTTAGGGTTTAGGGGTTAGGGTTTTGGGTTGAGGGTTAACAGGGATGGCTACTTAGGCTACTTCTGATCAGTGGAACGATAGGACAGGTAAAGAACGATGCCCCCGAGACTATCATGACTGGTTTCATCTTCCGTGGGAAGCCCTAGGGGGCACGCAGAAAACAACAACTGAGAAACCCATGTCCTTCGGTCACTTCGGTCTAACAAGCCTGACCAGAGCAGGCATTCTGCTTTGTGTTGGAAAGGGAAGGGCTGTGAACTGAGCCAGGTGTGCCAAGGTTCAGATCCACAAGACCCTGGAGTCTTATAGTGAAGAGGCCTGGAACCATGAGCTTCTCTCTGTTTCAAGCTTCCGCATGCCATTAGCAGGCCAGCATGGAGCGGGAGGTGCGCAAGTCAGCCTTGGATGCTATCGGTGGATACGCAGCTGCAGACCTGGAAGCTTTTCGTCCCTGTTTCGCGTAGCTTGTGGGTTGTCCTCCCCCCCTCCATAATTTCCATAATTGCGGCTCTGTGCATCTCAGGAGAGCTAGACAAGAGAAAGGATGCCAATGGAAGGCCTCCTGCATAAGCTTTTGCAGGAGAAGGGAGCTTGGTTGTTTGGAAGTGTGGATTGGGAGCGCTTGCATTGTGCCGCGTGATGCCATGCGAGGCGAGCCGACTTCAACAGCTGGCGACATGAGGCACGGCAGTTCGTGCAACGGTCGCAATCCTTTCCAAAATGGTGTTCTGTACATTGACGGCGCGAACCGCAAAAGTTCCAACAAGCTGTCCAGGGCTTGCACATGGGTCCCGTGTCTTGAGGTCCTTTTAGGGCTTAATGCGGCCTGAACCCAGTCGCTTAAAGAGGGCATGTGCGCCAGGGCTTTGACAGAATTGTTGCCAAGCGAGCGTAGGCGCAAAGGGTGGTGCACTGTGGAAGCTTGGTAAGTCAAGTTTACAGTCACATGCTCTCATTATTTTCGACTCATGCGAAGGCACAGAAGCACACTCCACCAAAATCCTAACAAAGCCCTGGGCAGGTGGCTTTGGATGCAGCAAACGAAGCATTCAATGCCTCGGCGGGGCGACTACGGAAACTCTACGCCATCGAGAAACTCTCGGGGTCACGTGGCTTCATCTGTCACATTCTTGCATTTGTGTAAGCCCCTCTGGCGCCGGACTCTTGCTGGTCTGTGCCTACACCGAGGAACTGTCTGCAGAAGACCACCTTCGAGCAGGTGGAAAGATCACAGACCACCGAGGACAACTTCCAAAAGATTCGGGATGTCACGGGCCTGGCGGATGTGACTTGGTGGACAACGAGAGAAGTTTTGCGCAACTCGTTGGATTTTGTGGCGCATGACCAAATGGCCGTGCCCAGGTCATGGACATCGTTCACAAGTTTCTGAATCGTGACGTCGAGCAGGCCCTTGCCCCATGCAGCTTAGACCTTCTTCTCCAAACACATGAAGCGTGAACATGGCAGCAGTGGCAGGAGCAGCTGAAAGCCTCAGTGAAAGAGGCAGAAGTCAACCTGGAGGTCTGCTGAGTGCTTGAACTTTGGGTGGGCCAGGGCTGACGGCCCTCTCATGGCTGGGCCTGGGCAGGTTCTACGGCAAAAGCACGAAAAGCTCAAGCAGGAGATGGAAGGCTTCCTCAGCCGGGCACAGTAGCTGCATGACATACCCGGAAAGTAGTAGCCGAGATGGTGACCCCAGACTCTTGGCAGGCTTACCAGTCGACCACACCAATGACCCAATGGCGCTGCACAAGGATTCTGCCCAGCTAGAGAATATGTGGGCGATTCTTTGACAAGAAATGACAGGGCTTGCGATCAGATGCACTTGCAAGGAGCTCGAACAGGCCGAACAAAAGCTCAACGAAGCCATTGAAGAGCAGGAGGCCGCACACTTGCGGAAAGAAATGCTGCTCTGAGGGGGAATGCCTACAGTGTAATGGTCTAAAGGTGCTTGCTTGCGAATTCGTGTATCATAACACGGTCATATGCTTAAGGGTGGGGCACGAAGGTCCGCGATGATGCTCACGTAAGTAGAACTGCCGGGAGAAGTAGTTGTGCCGGGGCTTAAGGAAGCCACAACGTCGTTTAAGTTTAGACTTCACAGGCGCGATGATTTTAAGCCTTTGGTTGCATTCTGGCAGGCAACCTTTGCGAAATTCGGGTCTCGGTTTCCATTTTTGGCCTTGTTCTTCAAGCGCCACCAACCCCTCGAGGCTACGTATTTTTCCGAATAACAGCAGATTTTTTCCACTGCGAGCTTGCAAAAACTGCACATGCAAAAGCCAGTCGTTTTTACTGACGCTTCTGCAAGAGGGGGAAGAGCCAAGCCTTCTTTCGCAAGGCCCGGCATGTCTGCCTCGTTCTTTTCATGGCCACGCTTTCGCTTCAAAAGCTTGTTGTTTGCATGCAAAAAAATGCTCGGCAAAGTGGAAGGCTTGCCCTCCCAATGTGGGCTGGTCTGAGCCCTCGCTTTTCTTATTGGGGCCGATGTGGGCTGGTCTGAGCCCTGGCTTTTCTTGTTGGGGCCAATGTGGGCTGGTCTGAGCCCTCGCTTTTCTTATTGGGGCCATGTGGGCTGGTCTGAGCCCTCGCTTTTCTTATTGGGGCCAATGTGGGCTGGTCTGAGCCCTCGCTTTTCTTATTGTGGCCAATGTGGGCTGGTCTGAGCCCTCGCTTTTCTTATTGGGGCCAATGTGGGCTGGTCTGAGCCCTCGCTTTTTTTATTGGGGCCAATGTGGGCTGGTCCGGGCCCTCGCTTTTCTTATTGGGGCCAATGTGGGCTGGTCTGAGCCCTCGCTTTTCTTATTGGGGCCAATGCGGGCTGGTCTGAGCCCTCGCTTTCTTATTGGGGCCAATGTGGGCTGGTCTGAGCCCTCGTTTTTCTTATTGGGGCCAATGTGGGCTGGTCTGAGCCCTCGCTTTTCTTATTGGGGCCAATGTGGGCTGGTCTGAGCCTGAGCCCTCGCTTTCCTTATTGGGGCCAATGTGGGCTGGTCTGAGCCCTCGCTTTTGTTTTTGGGGCCAATGTGGGCTGGTCTGAGCCCTCGCTTTTCTTATTGGGGTCAATGTGGGCTGGTCTGAGCCCTCGCTTTTCTTATTGGGGCCAATGTGGGCTGGTCTGAGCCCTCGCTTTTCTTATTGGGGCCAATGTGGGCTGGTCGGAGCCCTCGCTTTTCTTATCGGGGCCAATGTGGGCTGGTCTGAGCCCTCGCTTTTCTTATTGGGGCCAATGTGGGCTGGTCTGAGCCCTCGCTTTTCTTATTGGGGCCAATGTGGGCTGGTCTGAGCCCTCGCTTTTCTTATCGGGGCCAATGTGGGCTGGTCTGAGCCCTCGCTTTTCTTATTGGGGCCAATGTGGGCTGGTCTGAGCCCTCGCTTTTCTTATTGGGGCCAATGTGAGCTGGTCTGAGCCCTCGCTTTTCTTATTGGGGCCAATGTGGGCTGGTCTGAGCCCTCGCTTTTCTTATTGGGGCCAATGTGGGCTGGTCTGAGCCCTCGCTTTTCTTATTGGGGCCAATGTGCTCGCTTTTCTTATTGGGGCCAATGTGGGCTGGTCTGAGCCCTTGCACTGACACTATTGCAGCTGGGGAGTGGGGGCTGCGCCCCAAGACCCCCGGCAATAGCACAGACAAGCCAACGCCAAACAATTTGAGAAGCCCGGCAAATTCGCAGATTCCCAGCCAAAGACTCCAAAGACAACCTAGCCAAGCCTCGTTTGTTAAAGCCAAGACCCCCCTTTCGCTTCAAGAGCCGCTTGTTTGCATGCAGTACTTAAAACACTCGGCAACAGTGAAAGGCTTGTACTGATGCCCCGCTCGCTATAACAAAGCCACAGCCAAGCCACGGCCAGCAAAGCTTTGTGGTTCTCTGCAGGCTTGCAGGGTCCGCCTTCAGAAAACCACCCTGCAATCCGAGCACATGAAGCGCTGGGCCGTGCTTGACTCAGGATCTGTCTAAGATCGTGCCAGTCACTTGCTGCGCTTGCCGCGCTATGCCGCTACGACATGACGGGCTGTGGCCCACCTCTTGACTGTGATGCTGAGGCAAGAATGGGTGGAGTTCTTTCCAAGTTTGAGGATCCAGCGAAGGCAGCTTGTCAGCATGTCGGAGGGTGCACGCCGTCCTGGTGTCAAGCTATTCATGCATTCCGGCGGTCTCGTACAAGCAACTGGCCGAAGAGACATAACGGTCGCATCATGCTTTATTCTGTGCGTCGTTGTCCCGAAGATCAGGAAGCAACTGGTCAAAATGCTGAGTTTTATGCTCATTGTGAGAGGGGGAGGGAGAGAGGGAGAGAGAGCGAGAGAGAGAGAGAGAGACAGAGAGAGAGAGAGAGAGTGCTCGGAGTTGCGCGCCCCTGGGGGCGGCCTTCTCCTTCGGGAGGGGGCCATGCGTGCGGGAGAGAGAGAGAGCGAGAGAGAGAGAGTGCTCGTCCTGAGCGAAGTGAGCTTGTCAAGCCCGGCGAGGTTGATTCCCCGGCTGACTTGCCGATGTTCTTTCGAAAGTTCGAAGTTGCCGTAAAGAAGTTCATCAAGCGGGTATCCGACCAGCGGCTTGGATGACTTGAAGGTCTTGCCACGCAGCCCTGTAAAGCTAAGGCTAGTGAGCCTCTGCTGTACGATTTTACGGCGTGAGCTTCAGGATCAATGCCGGGAAGATCAACCGCAAGGTCCTCAGGGATTTCGAGAAAATCGAGAACGAGGCCACTAACCAGGATGTGCGGAGCAGAGGGAACACAGCGCATGAACGCTGCAAGACTCAAAAGCCAGGCCCAGAAGGGCCTCCTCTCCGACCACAACTTCCTGACAATAAACTGTCGAGCGCAAGCTGCAGATGGCCAAGGAGGGGATGGGCCCTCGACAGCGAACAGTTACTGCCCCACTGCGTTTGCAAACACCAAATCGGGGACGTTGGTTGCCAATGCAGGTCGCCCGACTTCACGGCAAGGTGCTGGGGACGGAGCGGAAGATGACCCACCGACCAACTTCTCCGAAGACCGGGAGAAGTGTAAGAATGAGTCTAGTGACTATTTGGCCTTCTCCTCAGCAAGCTGATGCTGGAAGTATGTGCAAAGCATGTATTTAGCAGATGTAAGCGGAGCTGCGGAAGGTAATCAGCGTTTGCAGCGACACTTGAGGCCAAAGTCCAGAATGGAAAGCAGCGGAAGGGCCCAGGCAACTAGTTGCCGAGCAAGCGGAGGTTTTCTGCCCAGCCCCTTGGCGGAGAGAGGCGATGATTCAACATGTATCAGGAATCAAGTTGGAGGATGTGGGCTCCATTATATATATATATATATATCTGTATCATGGTACTTGTTGGCGCGGAGTCCGATAAGTTGGAGATGCCGCCTGATATAAAGGCCGTTGCTCTGTCATCCGGATTGTGCTAAGGCAGATGGCATGAAACCAGGAACCAAAAGCTCGTGCTCGTTTCACCTAAGCCCGTGACCCTCTGGCTTCATGAAGGCTCCAGAGAGTTGCGGCAGCATTCCACCACTTGCCAGAACTCCTCGGCCATGTGGGGAAAACGGCTTGGGTATGCGCATTGTGGGACTGCAATGAGCTCTTGCAGATAAGTTGCCGGAAGGCTGCTGGCTTTGTTTTCCTGCGCGTTGAGGCGAGCAGGACCAGAGGATTGGCAGGTCTGGAGCCAGTCACCACGGAGCTCTCGCTGCCGGACAGACTGCATGGGCTGACCTTCTGTGCTACGCGCGACTAGAGTTCAAAGGCCCTGATTGCTTGTAAACGACTCCCCGGAAGTTGACCTGCAGGAGTGGATGATGCTCAGTCGTCTGCTTGAACTGGACGTTGAGGAGGCTGCGCGGGTCCTGTTGCATTGCAGATTGTCATGCGGATTCAAGATGCAATCTAGACCAGCAAAAGCTAGCAAATTAAGTTTAAGTTTGCCAGCTTCAGAGCTCGCTTGTTTTGTCTCGCGCTAGCTGCCGCCAGCTTTTCTTTTGCTTGCAGGCAGACAGCAGCTTCGAGCACTGGGAGATCAAGAAGAGCAACGTGCACCAGCAAACTTGCTCGTAGCAGCTGCGGGGTTTCGGCATATAGCCCACGTGACAAGGTCAAACGTCTTAGCGCATGCCCACTCCTGCATGCCAGGAATTCTGCAAAGCTTGCCAAAACAAGCTGCCGCCTTGGTCCATTGGTTCCCGTGGCATGCGAGCGGCAATCTCACATGGATGACATGAATGTGGCCGCAATTCTCGAGCGCAGTCGCAGCACCATGGAATGTTCTCGTTTTCGCTTGTGCAGGTTCATGCCGGATGCAAAGTTCTGCCGGAATTGTGGCCAGAAGCGACCCAAACTTGCGATGCTCTCAGTGTACAGCAAGGGGGCAGAGAAGGGCGTGGCCACCTGCATCTTGCACGGGGCATGACGTGCATCTCAAGGCACGCAGGCTACGTTTCAAAAGGCACTTCTTCTTTGGCTGTGGCAAATCTGACCATAGCGTCTGCCACCAACCTTCCCCAACCCTCCAGAGCATGGCCAGTGGACCACACGCTACAATTGATCCAACCCGTTTTGAGGGTTCGGGCGCAGATTTCCCGAGTCAATCTCAAGAGACTGCGGACACCCTTTAGCATCTCCGTGCCTGGGATCCGCCAACCTTCGCGGGAGGCTCCCAGCGCTGGTTCATGTAACTCCTGCCTTGGCCTCTCGAACATGAGGGGTCCAAAAACAGCCAACTGAAAAGATTGAAAACTCCAAGAGTCAAAGATCCAGAGTACTTCAACTTCTGAGGCCATGTTTTCACTGCCTGACAGACTGAGGCCGAGCTTAAAGCAGATCGAAGTCCGCCGCCCCAGCTTGCGATTTTTTCAGCTTCGCAAAACACAGCTGCTGCCTTTCTTTTGCCGAGGTGGAAAGGTTGCCCTGGCTGCTTTCTTGGATGAGCATGGCATCAAGCAGTCGGACACTCTCCTCGATGTTGGTTGAGCGCTTCCCTTTGCGTTCTGATATGTTCTGACCCCGAAATTGCGTTGAACGATGCAGGACCATGACTCTCTAGACCATGTGCAAGAGATGCTTGTGCTTGCTCGACAGAAGCTTGCGTGGCCCCAAGTCTGCTGCGCCCTGGTATGCTGTTCCAGCTTTGGAGTAGACTGTGGTCCACGTCAGCCGCCCAGCTCTGCACGACGCTTTTTTTGGGCCTGAGGAGCTAGGAGCCCATGCCGAAGCCACTCCTCACCCCTTATCACCCCTTAGCCTGCAACAAGGAGGAGTTGTTTGTCTAACTGTCTAACGCCCACTTCCCTATGCCAGCTGCACTTTGCAAGTTCTCACTTCGGTGGCGCCATGGCCGAAGTCTGTGAGAGTGTGATACCTGTTCTGCATATTGCCGTGCTCGGCCCACCCGGAAGCGGCAAGACTTGCCCGGGCCTCAGCACCCCACCTGCCTGCGGCAGGCTATGAATCGCGCAAATCGCAGCTTAATTATTGCGCAGCCACCAGAACTGCGGGTCAAATTGAAAACCCCACCGGACCCACCGAACCTGCCGATTCGCAGAAGTCGCTGGGGCAGCTTATGACCCCCCCCAAGGCCTGATCAACTCTTGGGTCAACAACCACGTCCCTTCAGAGACTTGCCTTGCACAGTTCATGTCGAGACGTCTGAACCTCAGAAATGCCGAACAATGCCTGGCAGTCTGACACAGCTCTAAGGTAACACCCCCAACCAAGAAGACGATGCTTTACTGCATTGGAACCTGTTCACACGTCACGGTGCATGCCGAGCTGTGGCCGAGCTGTGGCTGGGTGTTGCTCACGCATAAGGACCACTTACTACAGGTCGGTGCTTCTCCCGAACCCCCTCCACGAAGGCTTGTGCTGACACTGGCGCCTTTGTGAGTTTGCGCTGTGGCCCCTTAAGATTCCGCATCTGCGGTGTCATCAAGGTGATCACTTCACAACGCTGGTAGAAGTGACGGACTGTGTTCTGCAGGATGGTGCCATCAGTGCCATCACATGTTGTGCCGCAGTTCCCCAGCGAATCATCTCCAGCTTGGTTGAGGGACCTCTTCCATTAGAGCTCTGGGACACAGGACGACGCTGGCCAGTTTTCAGCCCAGGAGTACAAAAAGTTGCTTGGGAGACCAATCTGCAGCCTTCATGGCCATCGTTCAGGGGTCTCTCTCCCTGTCCACAAATTGCAGATGACCACAGGCTCTTACAGGCTCTTAAGTTCTCAAAGTGGTCACGTGGACGTAGCGGCGTAGCGTGACAAATCGTGACAAAACCCCATGCGCAACATGACCCCACGATGATCCAAGGTTCTGCAAAGCGACGGGGCGCGGTGAAGGCATGATGTCTTCCTACAAGTAGCTCAGCTGCAGAGCATCTGCCTCGAATAGTCAGCTCCTAAGCCGTGCGTGAACTTCAGACGTGCCTGGGCAAGGCACCCGATGCACGACTTTGAGGCTGCACAGTGTCTCATGGATGTATGTCAAGGTACCAAGTCTTGCTACAGCAATGCTAAGACTCTGTTCCTGACAGCTGGTTCAGGCGGACGCGAAGGAGCCCTCTATGCTGGCCAAAAGTCGCATGGGCCACGCGGCTGACACCAGCACAGTGCCTTAGACTCAGAGTGTCGCAATTTGTGGTTCCTTCCCTGCTTAGGCTTTATCGTTCTCTTCGATGCGACCTCATCCTCTTCATTGGAGGCGGCCAAGGAGTACATCGCTGCTTGAGGCTTAGGGAAAAACACTTGGACCAGATCCGAAAGCAGAAGAGGTGTGCACACCACCCAGCAAAGGGCGGGATCTGGGAAGCCAAGGCCCATCCTCTTCTCGAGAGCAACCCTGGCCAAGGCTTGATCATGCGGTAGAAAGTGTTTTGCGAATCTCTGAAGAAAGGCTTTGGCGATGGCATGTGGGACTTTTGATCATGCAAGGTTTTCCGCTGCGCCTTGTTGCGAACAAAATGGATTCACATCAACATGCAGATGACATCAAGGACGCCCTGCACCCGTGCGCTCGTGCATGAGCCTCCATCGTGTGATTACCGGGGCCAGCAGCCGGAGACCAGCTGACAATCCCATGCCCAAGTCTTTCAAGCCGACTCGTTGCAGGCAAATATCGCCAACGCGACCCTTTGCTTAAGCATGCTTTTGAGCAGCTGAAGTGGCTCTGTTTGACTCTTTCTCAGCACTTCGGATCTGAGAAGCCGTGTTCGACCAGGCTGGATTTCTGTTTCGATCAGAAGTGGCTTGCTTGAGATATTCTTACTACGTGGTTTTTTTTGAGACTCTGATGGTAAACTTGTGCACTCAGAATGTTCGTCCCCGAGGATAGAGTCGGAGAAGGTGTTCCGACAGATATCTGTCACTGACTATGCAGGGGTGCGAGACGCTTGGCCTCGAGCGGAGAGTCTCATAGCCGAGCACTTCAGGCAGTCGGATTGTTTCGCTGCTCCAGAGTGCAGGAACTCTTTGACAAGCTACTTGAAGAGTGCATCGACGAGACACTTGGCCCACAGAGCGCGTGGCCCATCCAGTTAGCACTCAGATTCCTCAGATGTTTTGTTTCTGGCAGCCTCGGAGTTCAACACTGCTGACCATGGGGTGATGTTTCGGTTGCCCTGCTGAGGACGTCTTACTGGGCGACCAGCACTTTGAAAAGCCAGATTGAGGTCTGCCCGTTGCAGCGCTCAGCGGTTAAAGCTCACTTCCTTTGGCTCCTGAGGCACGCAAGAAGAAGTTGGAACGGGGCGACAACTGCGCAATGATGTGAGTTGCTTGGCTGACGCTATGCGCCCACCTTGACTTCCAGGTCGTAGAACAGCCACTAGAATCCGAGGACAGGACCGGCTGGACTTCGTTGCGTAGCAGCCAACTTTATCTTTTCACTCGCCTGCCTTCTCCCAACTGCAACAGCTCCGAAAGATAGGAGCGTGAGCATTTGCGGACGATTTGTTGCAAAAGTCCACTGAGAAGCTGCTTTGGGAAAGTGCGCAAAGACAGTCAGAAGCCTCCATGCCCAGAAGCTGAACATGTTACCCACAGAGTGCCAGCTGCGACTGCTTAAGGCCAACGGCGAAAGCCGGGATCTGTGATTTGAAATGCCATGATGACATGCAAACTCTGCTCACTTCGTGCACACAGATTCAGAGGTCGTTGTAGTCGTCGAAGTAGTAGTAGTAGTAGTAGTAGTAGTAGTAGTAGTAGTAGTAGTAGTAGTAGTAGTAGTAGTAGTAGTAGTAGTAGTAGTAGTAGTAGTAGCAGCAGCAGTCGTCGTCGTTGTCGTCGTCGTCGTCGTCGTAGTAGTAGTAGCAGCAGCAGCTCTTCACCCCTTCCAGTGCGACGGGAAAAGTCTATTTTTTCGCACATTTTTTTTGCCAAACACGCGTTTTACTCGAGTTGTTGAGGGTCGAAAACTTGATTGAGTACTCGCGGTAGGAAAACATAGTCTTTTTTAGTGTTTTTTTTTCTAAATGTTTTATGCAGAAGTGCTGTGAATACTAATTCGCGTCTGATTGTTTGCTTTTTTCTTCATCCTTTACAGTTTTTCTGGAAATGTACAAAAAACATGTTTCAAATTGAGGGTTCCCATGTCAACTTTTTTTTGCGATTCTCTGTGATTTTTTGGCTGTGTTGCCGTAAACGCCGTTGCTTGTTCCCTGTGCATCCATGTCTTGGGGTGGGGGGTCGGGTGGGGGGGGGGGGGGCGATAATAAGTACCAGCATTCGCGTTCCGGGACGATGTTTCGACGCCAAAAATGCAGCAAATCCCAGCATTTTTCCTCTTCGAGAGATGATTATGTCCATGTTCCCTGTGCATCCATGTCTTGTCGCGGGGGGGGGGGTTGGGTCGTACAGTAGTAGTAGTAGTAGACTATACTACTAGAATACTTGTACTAGAGTACTATAGTACTGGTACTAGTACGATAGTACTCGTAGTGGTGGTGGTTGTTGTCTTTCACTTTCATGTCATTTTGTATGTTCGCATGCATTTGGACATGATGGGCAACCGCAGTCGTGATGCTTGGCACGGCACAGATCATGACACACTAGCATGATCTTTTGTCCGAGGCTACCTCGACCATTCGACGTCGAGTGCCCTACCAGTGGCCGTCTCGCAGGCTGAACTGTCAAGATTCAGTATTGGACCCATACATCCAGGCTGCGTTTCTTTTTGGGTAGGTGCTGTGGGGCCTCTCCCAGCAGCGGAAGCCTGCTGAATGCTGCTGGGAAGTGGCCCAGTGCTAAGACGTTTAAGACAAACCGCCATGTTGCTGCGAGCACGTGCGTTTCGTCGCTGAGCATTGCCGGGCTTGCCAGACGTGGTCATTGCTGAAGCTGTCTCAGGTGGATGATGGCACTGTGGGGGGCACATGGGCTGCTGGTATGTGCGAGAGATGTATAAGGTTGTATAAGTCTGCTCAGTCCACTTGACGCATACCGAGGTCGTTCTGTCCACCGCGGGCAGGAAGGCAATTGAGCGGCTCCGTTCCCAGCCGAACGACCTCGTGGAGAAGGTTGGAAGTTCAGTTATGGATGTTTGAATGAGGCGTTTAAACGGGACATTTCTAGGATGTTTTTAGGCTTTCAAGCTTGAGACAAAGAGCCGGCTTGCAGGTGAAGCAGGCCAACATTCAGCCGCCCCTACTGCCCAGTCATGCTGGACGCCAGGCAGAGATTTTGCGCAAGGCAGTGCAGATGGCCCATGGATGAAATGCCCCCCGACCTCCGACCAGGGAAATCGGGAGAACTGCGTGTCGAGTGTCCAGACAATCATCGAAAAGTGCCAAGACCTTATGTAGCTCAGAGCGTACTCTGCGTGCCATTGGGCACATCACTTGCAAACCCCTAAGACTTCATCCCCAAGGCAACAAGGAGGGCACAAAGTACACTGATCCTCGGTGGAATGTCGGCGCAGATCCTGCAAAGGCCAGCATTTCTGGCCACGTAGGGCTCACAACATCCATAGGCTCACGGGGCGAGACTTCGGTTTCTCTTCAGTGCCTGCTTGTTCCCGAAGACTTCATAGCCGCAGCCTTCTCGAGGTGCTGTACGTGGATGCGCAGCAGCCAGGCCAGGATTCGCAATGGACCGATCGGCATCTCCACAGTGCAAGCCTGTCCATGTAAAGGCTATGACTGCACTGTGGCTGGACTCCTGGTGTGCTGTTATGTGTTGTGGCCCCTGACGGAATCTATGTCCCGGTGCAGGGCATGTAGTGTGTGCAGGGCTGCCTTACATGCCCATGGGACGGCCTGCGGGATGCCGTTGCGACGTTGGCCCATTTTGGCTCTCCGCTGCAGAAACACCTTGCAAGATGCAGCTTAGCTCATGGCAGTGGACTCAATGGGAAAGAGAGCCATCTAGTCGCTCCCACAACATGCAAGCCCCACGAAACGAGATAGATTCTGGATTCTCTGCATGTCTGCATGCCGAACTGCCATCGCAGGCTTTGCTTGCAGGCCGGCTATGCAATGTCTTGAGGTTTCCCTTGTGAGTGCCCTTCTTGTTCCACGAGGCTTGTTGATGGGTGTCAGTTGCAGCTGCGCAGCTGAAGAGCTGGAGCTCAAGTGCAAGGCACAAGAGGCGAGTGCACGAAGGGCACGCAACACAAGACCACACCTGACAGAGCAGAGCTGATGTGGAGGATCTGAAAGACAATGCCGAGAATCCTGAAACTGTTAAACAGAACAGTGACGAGGCATCAGACGGTTCTCAGTTGATGTGATGGCATGTAAGTGGTGCCAATGTAGGTTGTCGGCTCTGGTGCAGTTCATCCCTGGAGGCCATACGCGAGATTCAGTTCGCGAATGCCCAGCCTATCCTGACCGACTTGAACCATGAGGCACAAATGTTGTCAACCATGAGCACACTTTGTCGGAGTCCTTGGGAGGCATTCGAAGATCAGGTTGACAAAAAGAACAGCGACAAAGAGCTCAAGCAAGAAGACGAGCCTAGATCCACGACTTCGAAGGAGTCTGCATGGGCTAGGTACGACCCCTCATCCAAGCAAAGTCACTGCTGGCCACAACTTGCGACAGATCCTGTCAGGCCGGATTTCTTTTTGCAGAGCAGCGCGAAAGTGCTGACGAATGCGCTCTGTGCTGTCATAGAGAACCCTGGCGACTTCGAGGTCCACCGAAATCTTGCGTGCTGCTTTCTGATATTCTGCATTCACCTTCGAATCGCAGTGGCCCCGAACTGCACCCGGCCAGGCTTTCTATACAGTCAAGGACCGGGCTGGGCCCTTGACGTTACTACCAAGCGCACCGACTTGTCATTCTGCGGAAGGACAAGGTTGGAGCGGGTCAGTTTGGCACCGTGAGCCGCCGGGTTTAATTTAGCTGCTCAGCCCGTTTCATGTCCCTCCGCGGGGCTTTCGGCGTCAGCTTGTCCCGAGCTCCTGGCAGCCTAGGTGCTGCGATCATTACAGCCAACGGAGTGGAGCGCGCCGCACACCTCTAAGGTGGTAGCAGCACGGGCGCTGCGATTCTTAGCGCTGCCTCTGACTGTATGTCTTGTCTCAGGTCAAGAGCATGGAGAAGAAGGACCGCAGCACATCGCTATGTACAAGCTTCTGTGCCACTGTGCGGTGCACCATGGGTTGTTCAAGCTGTCAGGCGCAGCGCATGTTCGTGACAGCGCTTCGTTTAGAGATGGCCAGTGCCTCAGCCTTGCACAGGTTTGCAACCCGGATATGTCCTGGCGCATTCGGGAGCCAACCTGCAAAGGAAATTATGAAGACGCTGGACCACCCAAACTTGATCACCATTTGCGCAGCTTGGACGGACATCACTGGCTGCACACCTTTTCCCACAGTGCGACCTGCCTATCCCAGGAAATCTTTGAGAGCAGTGAGAACATCTTCTTGGCAACTCGTCATCCAATGAGATATCAGATTTGGCTGGGCTTAGCAAGCAAATTCGGGCGTTTTTACTTTAACAAGTTTACTCCGAGATCGGCATCCCAGTTCCACTGGCAACCTTTGACTCCAAAAGAGCCCACTGTGAGGTCATGAAGCTTTGCAAAGGAGATGCGCCTTTTGCTTGGTCAAAAGCTTGCTAAGTACAACGCAGTTGCAGGACCCCACCTGACACAGTACGTCGAGCGGGTTGCCAGTCTGAGCGAGAAGCAGCGACTGGGACCTGTCCGGCGCGTTTGCCTAGTACTCTAGAAGGTAGGGAACAGCACATGGACGAGTGTGGGTGTAAGTGCTCTTGTGTCAATGGCTTCGCTGTCCGCTCTCTGGACCTTTGAATTGTCTATTGTCTTGTCCTTCATCAATGACTTTTCAAAGCTCAGGGCGCTCAAAGCCACGTCGTCCAAAATGGTTCAGTCCCAACCCTGCGCTATGCCAGAGCCTGACTTCACAACGCGGTCATTGCCGCAAGGCCTGCGGGCCTCTCGAGGTAATATCTGGGTACTCTCATTCAGTATGTTCAGACAAGCTGGACAGACGTCGCGGTCCTGACCGCAAGGCCTTCGGGCCTCTCGAGGTAATCTCTGGGTATTCTCACCGACGATGTTCGGCGAAACTGAGTTTTCATAACCTATCTTTGCATACGCAGGCTCATGAGGAATATTACGAACATCAACGTACAGCGTTTGCAGGCCGCCCCGTGGCGATGCGGGAAAGCCGCGCTTTGACTCCTGTCAAAGACAGCGGTAACAAACATGCTCCGAACCCCCCCCACCTTTCACAGACATGTTCTAGTATGAAAGAGAGTTGTAAACCGCTACGAGACAGCACACAAAATGAAAGAAATATCACCAATCACAGAAAATGCAGAAGTGAGAATGCCAGAATAACAAGAAGAGCGAACAGAGCGTGCAAGAAAAGATTTCAGAGACAACTCTTCCGACGTATCAGGTCGCAGGCCATCGGCTTGGCACGCCAGTTGCCTGCTTTCATTGCCCAAGATCCGACGAACGCAACACACCTCTTACCCGCTCGTCGTAACAGTGAGTGCGAAACTGAAACACTTCCTCCTATGTCTGAAGTATCCGCGCTTGTTGGTAGTGAAAGTTCTGAGTACCAAGATACGGTACTTTTAGGGAGATATCCAATCGACCTTCGCGTTGCCTCTCTCAACTGTCGCGGTCTCTCATCTATTTCTAAACGCGAAAGAGTGATTCACCTGATGACAAAACACAACATTGACATATTGTGTCTTCAAGAAACAAAAATCAATAGCAACTCTAAGGAGATTCACGATGACTTCGTCATGATTTGGTCAAGCGGTGTTAGTGACGACAATCGTAATAAAGCAGAGGAGTTGAAACGCTCTGGCAGAGCCTCCAGAACTCCTGAACACAACAGAACATTCCGTGCTGCAATTGAACACTTAGGTGTCGGAATTGTGTATCGAAAGAAGTTGCAAAAATATGTGAAAGATATAAAACAGGTCAGCGCCAGGAATATCATGATGACACTTCATATGCATGCCGGTTGCCTAGACATTGTTTCGACATATGTGCCTCAGGCATGTCACGTAGATCACACAGCAGCAGATCGTCATTACGTGGAGCTTGAGTCCCTAATGGATGAACACTATGCTTTCTCACCCCGCCTAGTTTTAGGTGATTTCAATGCTAGACTGATCAAAGCCTTACCACATGAAAGCACGGCTATTGGGCCACATACACTAGGAGCATCCTGGGCCGATCTAGACTCCCTCTCGCCAGCGCAGGTGAACAACCGCAGCAGATTGGTGGATTTCTGTCTGTCGCGAAACATGGTTGTTTCGAACACTTTCTTCCAGAAGCCACAAGAGCAACTCGTAACCTACAGAGCGGTAGGCGTTAAGAAATGGGAACCGCCGTGGCAATTGCATAAATACGCGCAAATGGATTTCATTCTAGTTAACCACAAATGGAGAAACGCAATCAAGAACATTTCCTCTACTTACATTCATGCGGTTGACACAGACCATAAGCTGCTTTTGGCTGAGGTCCAGTTCAAGCTGAAGGCGAAGCCCTTTTGCCCTGCCCCCCCAGCTGTTCGTTACCGAACCCCTACGAAGCAGCAGTTGGTTGATTTCAACGATGACATTCGTGCTATGCTCGCTCAACCACCTTCTTCCTCCAAAATGAATTGCCCCAGCCTTGATTCGCTGAATTGCGCCATGAAAGCTAGCGCGGATGCTACACTTCTCCATATTCCTCCGGCGCAGAAGAAACCTTATATCTCCCAGTCTACGTGGCAGCTTTTAGAAGCGAAATGGGATGCGATTGAACTAGGTGACGATGATCTCGCAGACACCCTTAGCAAACAAATCAAAGACTGTGTGCGGAAAGATCGAGAAGATCATCTGCTTGCACAGCTGGAAGAAGTCACTGCTCAAGGGTATAAATGGGAAGGGTTAAAACGGCTCAGATCAAAGTTTACACCTGCGTTCACCAAATTCAAAGATTCTGACGGTAAGCATGTAGCAGTCCAAGATTACCCTCACAAATGTGCAGATTATCTCCAACGTACACAATGGAAGAAACCTGTCAACACCTCAGAGCAAGTCCCCAGGCTCAACTCCCCTCTCCAAAACGGTTCTTATGTTATTTACGATTCCCCTTTCACCGCTGCAGAGCTAAAGGTAGTTCTTTCTAGAATCAAACGCAACAAAAGTCCAGGCGATGATGGGATTCAGGGTGAATTGTATAAATGGCTCGACGACCAAAACCGAACGCTCCTTTTGGAAGCGGCGAACAAATGCTTAGAACAGGGTTGTTTGCAGGAGAAATTCATGAGGGCCATTGTCGTTTCGATCTATAAGAAGGGTGACTCCTCCCTACTGGCCAACTACAGGCCAATTTCCCTTCTTTGTTCCTGCTATAAGATTGTTGCTGCTCTGGTAAAAGAGAGACTTGATGCTGGTCTGGATGGATGGCTGATGCAAACGCAGTATGGTTTCCGCAAAGGCAAATCGACCAGCCAGGCCATCTTCGTCGCGAGACGCCTGCAAGATATTGCAGAGAAAACTAAACGTAGTAGTACCCTTATACTGCTAGATTGGGAAAAAGCCTTCGATAAAGTGTCTCAAGAAAAGCTCATTGAAACCCTCCAGAGACTTAGAGTTCCTTCTAGAATCCTGAATTTGATTTGCAGTTTTTACGACAATCCGCTATTCAAAGTTAAAGTGGGTACCGCTGAG